GAAAAAGCTAAAAAATAAAAAATAAAAAGGAGAGCTGATTCTGGGGAAGAATCATAAGGGTCCAAACCCCCCCAAAAAAGAAGAAGCAAAGTCCGAGTTCCGGAACCCAAGTCAACCCATCCTGACCCATCTGCGTCCCCGGGCCCCACTTCCAGCGGCGTGGTTCCGTGCCACGTGGAATGCGAGTTGGTTGGGCCCTTGGCACTGGCCACAGAGGCGGTGGGTGACAAGCTTCGGCCTCGGATCACACTCAGCTTCCATGAAAAGAGATGCACCATCTCAAGAAGACTCTGACGCCACTTCATATAGAGAAGGATGGGACAAGTGGCACCATAAAAATCAATCATATGAGTACAACAAGACCTGGGAGACTCTGTTGCGAACTCTGCTCCCCTGCTAAAAGTGACGAACTTTTTTAGTGGTTTAGTACGGAAAACCAAGGCATTAGTTGGCAAAAAGTTAAAGTCCTAACAGCCAAGCAAAATGTACCAAAGCTCAGCTTCCATCTCTCAACTGGGTTGCTGACTCTGAAAGATTCTTTCCCTATATATGGGGATTCGGAGAGGGGGGATTGGGGGGGGGGAGGGGGGGGTTGGGGGGGGGTTGGGGGGCTGGACCATATGTCCCCTTTTTGGCTTCAAACGTGACCTTTCAGGGCCCCAGTTTTTAACGTCGAGTTTGATTCGGGTCCTTTTTTGGGGGGAAGCAGTTCGGGATGGCAAGCTTTTGGTGGGTCCAATGGAAATTTCCACTTGTTTCCCAAACACTTCAAAGTCCGAAGATCTGCTACCAAATAGCTACATGCAACGACTGGCGAGTGGCGATCCATGGAAACATTATTCGATCCATGTAGAAAGCAGCGACTGGCGATCCAGGTGGGTTGCTTTTGGTTTTGCCTCCCCGCTGAGGTTCGGTCCGCCCACGATCTTCCGGGCCTCGAGTTGCAGGAGCTTCTACCATGGATCCGGGAAATCGATCCGCGCGCCCACCAGAAACCCTGGCAGTTCCGGCATAGCGTTTTGCTTTTGGCTGGTTTCTTAAAAGGTAACCGGGGAAATACAACTTGAAACAAGGGAAAACCCTGGTTATATACGTACAATGGTATCTGGGGTACAAGACCCCAAGAAACAATCAGAGAAATGGGGAACGGATTATTGTACTGAGAAAGGCAAGTACAACCTCGGACTTGTTCAAGGGGACCCCCCCCCCAAAAAAAAAGAGCAACAGTCCACATGGGCAAAGGATCTGGGCAAAGCACCGTACTTCAAGAACGGGATCAGATGCTGGTTACAATTCGAGGACGGAAACCATACGACCTGAGGGCGGAGCCGTGGAAGAGCCGAAGCCTGCTCGAGGCAAACTGGGAACGCCGGGAACATATCCAAAGGCAACAAATCCGTGTTCTGCCGATGCATTCCGATGCCCTTCCCTAGCTCACGCCCTAAAAAAACTAGGGCATGTTGTAGTGACCCGGAAATGTCTGCTCAACAAAATTGGTTGCGTGGAAGCAGTCGTAAGTCGTATGACTTGCTTACCCAATCCCAGCATGACCATTGCTGAAACCATTAGGCAGCTATCTGGCACTTGGCAACAGGTTGGTTACGCGAAACAAGCAATGAAATCAGCTAGGTTCGGGAGAACCTGGTGGTCCCCAGTGTTTCTTTCCCAAGTCTTCCCCACAAACGGGGCCAAAGGAACTACAGTGGAGATGGATCCATTCAAATGACACCCTCCAAATTACCCAAGTTTGGCTGAAGGGAAACCAGCGGGACCCAAACCAAATTTCGAGAACCCAAGTCTTGGCCCCAAGCCTGGGGCAGAAAACCAGCTCATGGTCCATGTTTCGTCCATTTCGTCTCATCTTGGCAGAACGAATGCAATTTCAGATGATGGTCCATATTTAGTCCATTTCCTCTACCCCAACATGACAGATCATGCTGCAGCAGAGCCTTTTTGTCATGACTCCCCTTTTTGGAGTCTCCATGACCCGAATCAAAAATGGAGTCACGACCCCCTTTTTTTTGGGGGGGGGGGTAATGACCAGCTAATTTTTTAAGGGTCATGGAGACTCCAGGTTCAAACCAGGGACCAGGATGCCTGCGCCTGTGACATCTTCACTTTCCGATGCCCGCTTTTGAGGGACTCCGGGGACTGCCATTTGCCTATGCCCCCGGGACAAAAAAAAATCCAGTAGTGATAGATTCCCTTTTTAAAAACAAGAGGGGAAAATCAAACATATTCTTAAGCAAATGGAAGGGGATTTGGTCCGAGCCGTGCGTTGCCCCACTCCCAATGCCTGGCACTTCCAGGCCGCTTCCGCTCTGCGGGCGGCCTGCCGAACGGTGCCGGCGTATCCCTTTCGGATTTCAGGAGTCTGGACCCTCAGCCTACCCATGGCTCAGTTGTTCAGTGACCCTGGAAAAAAGGGAACCCTTTTTTGGGAAGACCATTTTAGGGTGCAGCCACCAAAAAAAGGGAAAAAGGGAGCCACTGAACAACTGAGATGGCAAAGGAATTCACCCTGTAATTTTGGGGCACTCACCCATTTTCGAAGAGTATTTCGAGGGGCCAGGTTCAGCGTCCAACCACAGGGAGTGCCAATCACTTTTTCTTGATTGGTGATCTTTTGGATGTCTGAACAAGGCCAGCGCTAAGGCCTTCATCGACTCGAACCACTAGACAAAGGAACATCACATAAAGGGCATCACCTAAGAAAGTCAAAGTGCTGAAGAAACAATCTGGATATGTGAAAGCAGCCAAAGGTGGATGTTGACACGCTGCACAGATTTCCTCCCATCTGGGAATCAACAATCAACTTGCCGCTGATCTCGCAGCGGTGCAGCCTTCGGCCTTTTAACTCGGTTGCTTTCTGCTCCCCTGCTAGAAGTTTAACTTTTAGCGGCCTAATGGAAAACCCATTAGTTGACAAAAAGTTAAAGTCCTAACATCCCTTGGCAAAATGCACCAAAGTTAACTCCTTGTGGAAAATCAAGAAGTCCCTCTGAAAGTGTCAAGCTCCACTCAATTGTAGGGCCCCTTCATTTCCCCCAAACCCCCTGGCGGTGGGGGGGGAGAGGGCAAGCTTGTCCCACATCTAGCTACATAAAACATATGTTCAGATCCTGGTCCATGCTGTGGATGGACAAACCCTGCGCCATTGAGGATGGTATGAAGCCCTGCAAATGTGGACCACGTGACGACTTTTGCGAAATGACGCGGTATGGTTTGTTGCCCCACTTACCTATTATGTGTTTGTCTTGCTTCAGTCCATGACGGTCCCCTTTAACGGGGAGGTGTCCAACTTTTGTTGACTATTGCACCGAAGTGTGGAGATCCCCAGAACTCCCTGTCGCAGGAAGGAAGCGCGTGCAAAAACCTTCCTCTCGCCCAAGCCTAGGCTGGGCCGCGCCTGCCTCGGAAAAATCAACTCCGCCGAACTTGAGACTGACAGGGTCTCTGGGCCGACTGAGAAGCAACATGCCCCCCTTTTGTGGGTCTGGAAAATGGGATTCGGGTCCTGCGACTTGGGTTACAGGGTCGCCATGTTCAACTACTTGCAATATTTGGGCCATCCACCGTACTTGTCATTGAAAGGGAGCCGCGTGACATCAAAACTTGCAATGGAGGGATCATGGCCAATCATGCCACTGAAGAGCTAGGCAACATGAAAGAGGCAAATTGACCCATGTGCTGTTTTGGAGCAATTTGGCCGGTTGTTTGAGTTCTGCGGGGTGATTAGCGGACCTCGGAATGCGACAGTGAGTTACAACATGGTTCAATTGGTTCATCGTTTCGAGCTGGTTTCGCGACAGCTTGATCGCCAACATGCGGCCCCCTCGCTTCGCAAACTGACTTGAGACTTGCAAAGAGTAGTCTAGATGTGTGTGATTAGCCCCCCGCAACCACTGCTTTTTGGGCAATACTTTTTGTGTCTTTTTTGTTTTACGGAAACAAAGCAGGGGTGCTGATTGGCATGGCCTTGTCTCGGCTCCTTTGGCTGACAACCTTGAGACTACGATCCAAATTGAAATCTCGCCATGGCCCAGCTTTAGTCCGAAGGTCTCCAACCCAGCAAGGCACAACCTTGTTCTAACTGCTCAGTTGCCCAAAGGACCTGCAACTAAAAGGTGACCACCTTTTGGGGCCATGACTAAATATGGGTTCCCAAAACGGAAAAACCAGAAGGTCAAAAGGTCGATTCGCTTTGAACAACTGAGACTGTCTAAAACGAGGGATTCCTGGGAAGGGGTGGCGCGGGTTGGTAACAGGGGAGGCCCAAAGCTGGTAAGCCACTTCTTTCAGGGTGACATCATACCGTATGCTGGCCGCATTTGTTTGGTAACTATAGGCTACAGGGTTCTAAACCCAAGAACTTTGCCAGGTCGAGAGGCCCGTGTCGAAAAAAGCCTTCGGCGGGTTTTCTGACGTGTGGTCGCGCTTGCTTTCTGCTCCCCTCCTACAAGTGACTAACTTTTAGTGGTTTGATATGGAAAACCAATTAGTTGGCAAAAAGCTAAAGTCCTAACATCCCTTGGCAAAATGCACCACAGTTTCGAGAGGCCCGTGTCGAATGAAGCCTTCGGCGGCTTTCTGAAGTGGGTGTGGGTGAAAAATAGGTACCCAACAATGAACCCTGGTAAATGGCTAAACCTGCGGTCCCCAAGTGTTTAGTTTCACCCACACCCAAGTGTTGTGGTTCCGTGTGGCTTCCTTGCAATGTTTAGAGAGAAGCCGCTATGCGGCCATCTCCGGATAAATCCGGATCACGGAGGACTTCACATCCGCAGTTGAAAGTACCCTGCAATTACTTTGCATGGAACCCGAACACGGAGTCCCCCACAAACAGACTCTCTAGAAATGCTGGTTTGTTTTGTTTGTTTGTGTTTTTGATTGTTTTCTTGAGGGGGGGGGCTTCTGTGTCCCACTGCAAATGAGTAAACTCCGAAGTTGGCATCCGCTTATCACCTGCCAGCCACGGCCGATCACCGCTGCGATTGTTTTGTTTTCTTTTCTGCATCTGCCCCCGTGGCTTCTGCCCGCACGCTGAAGCAAACCTCTCAGCCCACGTGAACCCCCTGCACGTACGTGTAGAAGAGGTGATGGATCTCCTTGCCGGCTGCGTGGCTGCACCCCGTGCAAAAAGTTAACTGCTTGGTGGTTGAAGGGAACACACCCGGAGCCTCCATGGCCCTAAACACATGGGGCCACTCAAAGACAGGGCCATGACCTCATGTTTAAATGGAGACCCCAGGCACAGAAGTGTGAAGGTGTGAAGATTGCACCAAATAGCAGCCAAAACAAGGCTGGCATTTTGTGATGCAACTTCCGCGATACCGCTGAATGCCCTGCCCGATGCCCAAGGTCGGGGGGCATGCTCACCACATCACTGCAGGGGAGCCTCCAAGCTATCACAGAAATCAACGCACATACAATTCCAGCTAGCACCACCCGCTGTTGGCCCCATATCGCCAATTTTCCCGTAGGTGGATGGACGTATACATGTAGCCTGCTGATACAAGGGCAACAAAAAGCAATCGTCCGCGATGGGCATGCAGCTTTGAGGTTGGGAAACAGAGCGACTGTCGCAAGAAATGCATGTCCTGAATCCCAATCACCTGGCCAAAGCGCAGAGCATGGCATTCCAAATGCACGGGGCACCAACTCAACGAACAGCCCAGGAGGTGGAAAAGTTTGCTGCCCGGCTCGGCCCCTTTTCCACAAGAAGGGAAGAGCAAATGGGTCTTTTGAGTGTACCCTGGTGGATTGTTTTAAAGGGAAACCAAAAGGAAAACCCACTTCTCTTGTGTCTGTTTCTTTTCATGTTTTTTTTTTTGGGGGGGGGCTCCTTAAAAACAGACACGTCCAAATGCGTTGAGCCCAAGAAAAGAACCTAAACATAGGTCTGTTGACCGCTTGGTTGAACATGGTACCGCTCCCAAAAAATATGTTCCTCCAGCTCATGTTTTCTTACGGGCATGGCCGGTCGTGGGAACGATGTGTCTTAGAATCCCTCACGTTTCAAAACCCGGAAATCCCGACCTGCACTCTGCGCTCGCGATCTGTGCCTCGGTTGCGGCGCGCGTCCGAGTTCGCAAGGAGGCCGCGTGGCCCAACCCTATTCAAAGCACCTCTTGTCTTAGCCAAACCTGGACCACCCGCAAAAAGCTGACCTTTCATTGGTTGAGAGCGAACGTGAAGGAAACTCTAAAAGGCACAAGGACAAATACAGTGAGCTAAGTCCCGGTCATGTTGTCCCCACAAATCAATATTCATGATTCACCATCATGAATTATTCCAAGAACTTGCGCGGAGCTGGCTTTAGCCTTGCAAATGTCAGTATGCCCCCAGGTGTTCGAGTTGTCGCGAAACGCCGCGCGAAAGCTGGCCTGGGGCCCAGCTTTGTGATGGAAAACTCTTTGTTGCTTGCTCTGCCCGTGGGTTGAACCACCAAGCTAATTGACTTGAGTCGCAATCAAAGCCCGGTATTAAAATGGCCTACCCAAACCAAAGTACTGTACAGGCGGCCGCACCCAATTCTGGCTGGGATTGTCCCTTAGCCAGTTACAAGGGTACCAAAATGGGAAAACCAAAAGGTCCAAAGGTCAGTTAAGTAGAAGCCTTACTAAATCTTAAAGCTCTAAAAAGCTAAGGACGCGGCTGGCTGGGAACCAAGTTTCGTGATTTCAAGGAAGACTGAGTTGCCCAAAGGACCCGGAAAACAAAAAAAGGTTAGCCTTTTGGAGCCATGACTCAAAATGGGATCCCAACATGAAACTCAAAGGGTCAAAAGGTCGATTCGCTTTGAACAACTGAGAATCAAGGGCCACCCCCCCTTTTGCAGCCACCAAAAATGGGAACCCAAAACATGGAAACACCCAAAACATGGGCCACTTCAGGTTGATTCGGCTTGCTCGCCGCTGAGAAGACCCTCGACCATTGGACAGCCATGTCGCTGCTCATCCGCCGCAGGCGGCCCTCTTGGGCAGTGAGCAGCTGGTCCCGCGAAGGCGGCAGCCGGATGACGGCCTTCTGCACCACATCGCCCGAGGGCCTCAGCTACGTGCGGGCTAACGTCGGGTCTGAGGTCAATAGGAGAAGCCACCAGGGAGGCGGAAAACATATGGCGAGTGAGGGAGCATTCGGAAACCGGATCCCTACGGGGGCATTCGGAAACCGGATCTCCAAGTCACCGTCACTTGCCGTGGTTTTTATGGTTAAGTCTATGGCTTACTTGAAACAAGTAGGGGCGGTCGCTGCAATGGTGACTGTTAGCGGCTAGTGAATATTCGGACCCGTTGGCCGCCACTCCGGGTGAGATCAGGTAGCTCTCTTACCCTCTCCCAGTTATATAGTCAGTTTTAACAAGGAAGCCACAAACAAAAATACAACACTTGGAGGGGTCCCTTATCAAAAGCCCCATTGGAATCACAAAGGTCTCTCCAACAGCCGCCTGGCGGCATGTCGTCTACGAACACCCAGCCCAGATATACGATGCACGTTGGCCCTCCGCAATGTTACCCTCTACTGCGTTTCTTAACCCTCGGATGATTGTCTGAAGGTTTTGCTTTGAATTTGATTTGACATTGCAGTATGAACCATGTTCATTGGACAACCCTTGCCGCATCCCAAGGGTGGCCCCTCCAGTGGCCATGAGTTTCAACCACCTGTCAGCCGTCACGTGTTTCTTTGACTCGAAATGCCGGTATGGAGGCTGTCCGGGGCGTGCGCCTTCCAAGTTGGCTCAAGACGCGTGATACCAATCGAAACCACCAAGTCAAGCGCTGAAGAGAACTCTGTTCACCTTCAATCTATTGAGGCTCAGGCAAATGTACGGTGCTTATGTCAAGCAACTAGCCGGATGATCCCGGCCATGAAGGGACTCCAACAAGTGTTGGGCTCAGCTCCCGCTGCAGCGGGGCGCTTTGCTGGATCATTTAGGTGGGGATTCCCGTCCACCAACCACTTCAAACGGGGCTATGTGAATTGATATATGTTTCTCGGGCCTTGGAAAGAAAAAACGGGCAGGTCAGGCATAGTTATAGCTTCACTTCAAAAAAGTACTGATGACAACTCGAACCTTGACCGCTCGAAAGCTCGGAAGTACGACCCCTGGCCGATCAATGCGGAAGGTCTTTTTCAAGACCTGGCAAGACACCTCAGAGGTGTAGGAAATGCAAACAACCAACACAATTCCAACAAAAGCAGGTCCGACTTTGGCTTCCTTTGCGACATAAACAAATCGGATCTGGTTGAAGGAGGATCACTCAGGGCTCCTCGACCAGGAGGAACCCGCCCTTAAATTGGTGTCATGAACACCCGATATTCAAGGGTCTGCCCAAGCCCATTTAAAGAATCAAAAGGGGGCCGCAATCGAGCACATCTATTTCGGTTTGGGTCTGCAACTTACTGACCCCCAAATACCCAGTTTTTGACTATGGCCACAATTTGGCACGCCGGCAGCGCTGAAAAACAAGTCCCGAAGGTTGGGTTCATCAGATTTGGCCCTGTAGACGAATCATCCCATCACAAAGTTTCGATTCGAAGACTCAGAGGTCCCCATGCGTCATTTTCTGCAAGTAACACTTTCCTGAGGAAACACTGGGGTCCTGTACCTGTTTAAAGCATCCAAAACAAAACTTGGGGTGATTTCTTCACCGTCCAACTTTGGCAACCTGAGAACGTCCAAAACCCTTTGTTCAAACGCCGTTCATAGTCTACCCTGAATATGATCCCTTTTCTGTGCAAATTAATATTATACACCAACCGAATATGAGAATTGGAGCTCCCCAAAGAGGGCTTGGCCAACGGTCTCATACGATTAAGAAGACAAAAACGGTGGTGGACACACCCAAATGGCAAAACGGGGCATGGAGTGGTACCCCAATCCGTGCAGGGAGAAGAAGCGACATATTTCTGCAGCCGAGGGGCTCATACCGAAAGCCTCCGGTGGGGCAACATGCACCAAAGGGGTTGCAGGCCGCATGCCAAGAAAACCAGGATCCATTCGCCACATTTGTGGGTTCGGGACCAAAATGTACACCCCCGTAAGTGCTGCAAGCATGGTTCCAACCAAATACTGTAGTCTCACTTGCGGGAACAAAAGCGGATAGTGGCAGGGCCCATCACAGAGGTCCCACGGCTCAAGCGAGTGATGAAAACGCACACAAGCAAGCAAGCAAACGAAGAAACAAACACAGCAGCAAGCAAACTAGCAAAATGGCACACGCACGCACGCACGCTCGCACTCCCGCACGCAATCAAGCAGGCAAACAAGCAAGCAAGCAAGCAAGCAAGTAAGCAAGCCACCAAGCAAAAAGCAACATAAACTGGCCCCTTACTTGTGATCTTAAGATGAAGTCAACAATTTGTCGGGCTGTTGAGCACCAAACCAATAACTGGCAACCGCCCCGGCTGAGATGCCGAGATTTCACCGGTTTCGTTTCACTTCCCTTTTGCCTCCAGAGAAGTAACGGGCGATGTTTGCAGGGATTCCAGCCCCAAGTACTACTCAGTTGCCCCAGGCCTTGGAAATAGGTGCACCTTCTGGAACCTTGATGAAAGAATGGAACAACATTGGAAAACAAAAGCTTAGAAGGTGGCTTTGGACAACTGAACCAGGTACCATGAACTATAGTAAGGGCTTTCGCGCGCCCAAACGGGTCCATAAGCTCGCAGGCATCTTCTCGGGAAAAGGAGGCCCGAGGGGCAAACAAACTGCGGCACGAGGTCGGTCCGTGCAACCAAGGCGCAGTACACCATATCACTATGGGCCTTTTGAGAGCGGTAGATTTCCCCGTCTTCCGGCCGCCTACGGATCAGATGGAGGAAAGCTGAAGGCTGACTCGAGCCGGCGCGCAGTGGGCGCGACAAATTTTCACCCTACTAGTCCAAGAAATTCACAACAAACAAAATCCTGACGCGCAAAGGGAACCATTCTGATTTCAATTATCCCCGGATTGATCCGAAGTTAAGATTACCCGAGATTAGAGCCTGTCAGTTCCCCTTTTCCCACCTTTCCAAGTCAAGGGCAGGTTTTAATGGACTTTCTGAGTATCTGACAGCTCATCCATGTCTGGGCCCCCGTGCCGGAAACATATGCCATGATAGAAAGCAAGTCCTATCCTAAAAATGGAACGACCTGGATCGCCAGTCGCTGCTTTTGTCTATCCACCGTACCCCAAAAACCAGCAATAGTGACTGAAACAAAACAGCACCTTGGCTATCTACAGTAGGCATATGGAACCCCTACCTGGACACAATTCCATTTATCTAATCTTTCCCAGCGATTCGATATACCCATAGAGTAGGTAACCAAGGAAACCACCCTTTCAAAACCAAAACAAAAACAATGGCTGGTTACCCACTATCTTGGTTACCACGACCCCTCTGCCAAAAGTGGATCACTTTTTGTGGGTTTAATGTGGCAAACCCCAACTTGATTTCAACCAAAAAGTTAAAGTCCAAAAAGATCCGTTACCAAATAGCAATCAAGCTAAAAACAAGGAAACCCAGCAGAAATCCCCCTTTTTGCTGGTTTCTTTCACTCACCTACCATGGTTCTAAGCCCCCAAGTGGATTCTATAAATGAACATTTACTGAAGCTATAGTGGCTTGCTTCCCCTCCCAATTTCAGGGGGGCTAATTCCTAGGGGGACATCCTCTAGGTCCTCCAGATTTGAGAGGTTCGAATAAGTTGGTACCCTTTCTTTCTGTAGTCTATATATATATATCAGTAGGGGAACCCTCCCCCAGAAAAGGATGAAAGGGCACCACTGCAAAACCTAGTTCTGATGGGCTCCCCGGAACGGAGAACATCCCAAAAACGTGCGGGAGTGGCATTTCTGGATGCCAAACCTGCACAGCCACGAGGTGAATAGGTTCGTGTGTCTGAAAACCGGAGAACCCAGGGTTGGTGTCCCTTTGGCTTCCAAAGTCATGCCAGCCCAAAACGGTCAAACTTCCGGGCCAACTCTGGGCAGCTTGTTTCGGTTGGATAGCCCCTCAAGAAAGGCAACACCAGTTTGGCCGAGGGGTTCCGGGTTCCATCTCGTACACAAGAAAAACACGAAGGATCCTAAGAAAAAACACTGCGCAATTCGGGGGTCGATCATTTCGGGTCCAATTTCCTTTGGGCGAGGACAAGTGCAGGGTCCAAGCTTTTTTTTTCTTGGGAGGTCGACCATCTGTACCGCGTGTCTAGGGGGTTGACCAATTTCTATTCGGTCCCGAACCCAAACAAACCTGGAGCTTTAGGGTGCCGCTGAAGAGATGGGTCAACAAGTGTGGCTGCAAATTATGTCCCAAAGCAGTGCACGGCTCAGTTCTGCCGGCATGCCGTTGCTTGTCACGCCGGTCGCCGTACGACCGCCCGTAGTTCTTCAGCCTTGGACGCGGTCATCCATTCGTCATGAGAAACACAAAGGAAGCCCAGAGCTTGATAAGGAAAAAATGGGCGCCCATGTTTGATCGTGATTGAAGGGAGGAACAAGAGCACCACTCTGGGATATGGGGGGTGGGTTCCTGCACCTTTTGACATTGTGCTTGGGCCACTGCGCCTTGCTTCATGGGGGGCAAGCCTCAAGGTCCCATTGCCAACTTTACCGAAATCCAAATGAAGCCAAGATGGGTGAGCTCGCCTGACCTCACGAGCTCGCCATAGGCCGACACCAGTTTCAAACCCCTCGAAGAAAAAACATCGGGGCACCTCTATTTCGTGCCTGGCGAAAGGTTTGGCTGTTGGTAGCGTTAAAACAAAGATGTAAACACAACTTGCCACACAACCTGTCAAGCTGTGTTTCCATCTTGAACAAGATGCTGAGCAAACATCCCTTGGCAGGAAGCCAAAGACATGGCCTCGCAAGTTGGGTCAGGCTCAGCCTACCAGTCTCCTTCTCTTCTGACCCTTGAAAAATGGTTGGGCATTACCCAAAATGGTTGGTCATTACCAACAAAAATGGGGTCATTCCCAAAAAAATGGGGTCATTACCAAAAAGAATGGTTGGTCATTACCCAAAAATAATGGTTGGTCATTGGCGCATTTTTAAAGGGTCAGAAGGAGACTCCAGGTAGCCATTGCGTACCATCTGTCGATTGGTTCATGGTTCAGTCAGCTTTGACAATGCCCTCCTTCTGATGATGCAAGCTTGCAGGAAGGTGGGGGAAGACAACATTCCGATACATTCTGCTACTTCCCTGCCCACCGTTCCCCTATTTTGCGGGGGGCATAAAAATAGAAACGGAATTATAGAGGGAACAAGTGGAATACTCCCAATACAAGTGGCAGATCGAGCCCTGAGCAAACATGCTTGGGGGGCCCTGCTCATTTGCTTGTTGGGAACCCCCACTTTTATTATCGTTGCTTGTGGGTGTGTGGCAACGTTGCCGTGCCCTCGGTCGGGTCTTGGCCCAGCAATATCATCTTGATTTCGACCCCCACAAGATTGCGGTTTTTCCTTCTGGTTCCCCAAAATGTTCAACCCCAAAAAGGGACGCCTCAAGCATGCATACCCTTTGCCTGTAGCTCTTTGACTTGCATCATTTTGTTGGCTTAAGGTGTTCGACCGTTCGTGCAACATGTAATTAGGGGAGCAGGGAACTCAGGATCTCAGGATATGTTGTTTTATTCTTAACACGGTTTAAGATAGCCTGAGCGGCCAATCCAACAAATGTCCAAAGTTAAAGTCTAAAGATCCAACCCAGTAACAGTCAAGACTTGTTCATCAAATTGTTGCTCCAGGGGTGTTCGACTGTTCGTGCAACATGCAGGGGAGCAACCGCGCTGGGACCTCCGGATCTCAGGACTTATTGTTATTTTCAGATGGTTTAAGATATCCTTAGAGGCTAACCCAACAAGCGTCCAACAAGCTTTTTTTTGACGGGCTAACGTATTGTTTGACACGTATATCCTGTGTAGGGGCTAAGATTTGAGGCGTCCGCGAACCTGGAGTCTGCATGATCCTTAAAAAATGGGTCAATGACCGCATACTGTTGGGTAATGACCAACCATTTTTTAAGGGTCATGGAGACTCCAGGTAGTGATTTGGCTGTGGCTTAAAAAAACGGTACCACAATGGAACCCTAGTACGTGGAAACATGGACCAACACCCGCGTAACCCCTCCTGTTTAATTTTGAGCCACAGCCATTTGACCAACGTAAAACATGCCGGACACGCGACAGGGAGAAAGCTATGGCGCAGTACGAGCCGAGACGCTGCCACTCCAAGAAGGGGACAGTCTCCACGTGCACGAACTCGCTGTTCTGCCTCGGTTCGATCTGAGGCTAGGCCGGGGACCCTCCGATTGACTTTGGTCCCCCGGAAAAAAAAGAAGAGCGAATCATCTCTACTCTTGGTATGGTAGCAAAACACTTTGTTTTTTGCAGACCCCCAGTAAGAATGAACAGAACCAAAAAGCTAAAAAGCCAAAACACATGCCAAGAACAGTGAAGTAATGATATTCCCCCCAGTGGATCCCAGGCAAGCCACTCTAGTGTGTCACCTGTCATTTTTCCTGTTGGTTCTTTAAAGGGTGGCTTCCTTAGTGACCTACTTTATGGGTACACGGAATCACTGGGTCCAAAAGTGGTAGATTCCCTTTAACACCAACATGGGAAAATAACACATCTGCTGATATCTGCTGAAGCAAATGGAAGGGTCATAATTCAAAAAGGCCGGACGATATAAAGCTTTAAAGATGGGAGCCTCTCACCGCCAAGATTCGCCCCGAGGATGATGTCGGAATAGCGCACGCCAGTGGCAAATGCATTGGACGCAACCTGAGCCATTCACTTCCGGTCTACCTCAGGAATGGTTGGCCAGACAAATCGTGGAGTCTCCATGACCCTCAAAAAGTGGGTCATTAAGGGTACCTATACACTTCAATCGGAGACTGATATTTTTTTTTGTGTGTGTTTTTGTTGGCAACAGGAGAACCAAAAACAAATCAAACAGTTTGAGGGACCCTCAACATCTGTTGGGTAACTGCCAAACAACCAAACACAACCGATGAAAGTTTGCGGAATCACTAAAGAGCAGCGAAGTGCTGATTCTCAGCTCGTTTCGGTGCCCCCTTCTCCAAAGCAAACAAGAGGGCAGGTTCCTGTTGGTCCAAACCTGTACACCAAACATGCAAACATGTGCTCAAATTTTGGAGATGTTGCCTACAAAATGACTAAATCGTTGAGGACACGGGCCCCACCAAACAAGAACTCGCAAATTTCTCGGCAAAGCTGCTACTTCAAACTGCAAAACAAACTGGAGGAACGGGCCCCGTCGCCACCAAAGCTCGGAGCTCGGCCTCATCTTGGTTTCCGACATCGGGGGGGGAAAAAAACAAGAAGCCGCCCAAGCGGCTCAAGCGCCCAATTTTTTAGATGGCGTCCAAGGAGCCTTCACAACGCTGCCCTTCTTCACAAAATTCCTGAGGGCTCTGAAGAATAAGTGCCTCAGCTCGGAGCCGTGGGGTGGGAAGCGGTGGGAAGCATTGGCCAGCATTGCGAACATGCACCGGCCTGGATTCATTCGACCCGCTGAGCTCGTTTTCCTTTGCACAAGTTGTTTCAAACAAAATGAGAGATGCGCCACCTCGACCTAGAAATTCCCATGGCCAACACAAGGGTGTCTCTTTTGGGTTTTCCCTCTAAAGCCAGAAAGGAGGGGTACCAGCTCCAAAGCCAAAAGGGGCGGGGGCACCAACTCAAGAAAGGCCCTGAACAAATCAATAACCCCACCACTCGCACCTGGGAAGCAAATTCTTCAAAGCTTCGCGCTCAGCCCGTCCAGCCCTGCAGCAAAGCGGCATCAAATTCTCGTGGCGCCAGCCTGGGTCTCAGAAACTTTCTCAGGGACAAGCTGCCGCCCATTTTTTGTCCCGAGGTCCAAAACCAAATCTGGGATGGTCTTTCGAAGGGGTCATTCCATTGCTCATTCCCCACCTGTCGAACCAAGTAAAGGAGCCATCCAAAGACCCAGTTCAGAACCCTCGCGAAATTGGAACCCTTCTTGGGCCCCTTGGCCTTCGTCGATAAAAAGCCCCCATTGGGACCTGGTATGGGTGAAGGAAGCTGGAAGAAGTGGCTGCGTCCTTTGGCTCCAGCTCCGGGCCCCCCGGCGCACGAAAGGATGGCCATCAAAAAAGCCCTGCACCACACCTCGCTCTCTCGCTGCGCGTTTTTGTTTTTATTCCGTGCTCCATGTGCGAAGACGTCCTTTGAAAACAGTAAAAAAACGAGAAATAGGTTCAGTATAGTGATGAAGCCCCTGTAAAACCAAAGGGAAGTAGAACATATTCTTGAGCAAATGGAAGTTGTGGTCTCCCTCTGTGTCACCACGTCTCTGTTGCTTGACGCTGAAATCGCTGAAAACAGGCCAGCATGAAACTACGGCCCTTTCTTGGAACGCCGAGTTTTGCTTTGCCACTTTTCCTCTTGAAATGCAAGGAGCAAAAACGCAGTGGTGTGGGGCTGATGCGACAAGATGTCCTGCGCAGAACTGATTCTCAAAACCGCTACTAAAGGACATGGCTGTGTGTTTTTGAGGGTACCCTGAGGTTGATTTAAAGGAAGACCGAAGGCCACGCCCCGGGAATGCGGCTCCCTCCATTCTGACATATACCAAAGCGTAGGAAGCCTTGTGCCTTTTTGTTTGCGCCTGCATGGGGAAAATTGTAGTAGACAGCTCCGAACTTGTTCTCCATGCCCTTGAAGCGCGGATCCACCGCCAGCCTGCAGCAAGCAGAAGCTGCTAAGCTTGTCGCAACGCGAGTGACCCCCCCCCCCCTCACCCTCCCAGCCCCCCAACCACACCCCTCCCCCTCCCCCCTCCACCCACCCCTCACCCAACCCGGGAACCCAACTTGGGTTCCAGCGTCTCTTATTTCATCAAGTTTCAGTGGGGCTGTTTCGATGCTTCCGAGGCTCCCAACCCAACCCCCCACTGCCGGCCTGGTCGCGTCCACATTGTGCAGCACTTCCGACCTCAGCCGTCCGCCAGCCACCAGCCGGGACCAGCTTGGGTTGACCTATATAACCAGGAGGAAGAACGGACGGTGTTCTTTTGAAAGTGATCCGGATCCCGTCTTACAAGCGACACCCCCGTACTAATCAACTACGGCAACGCTAGCCCTATTAGCCCGTCTGTTATCTCCTACCCCCAACGGCAGCAACTCCGTTGGGGGGGGGGTTGAAGGGGCTGAATGGGCTGATGGGGGTGCGCCTTTTTTGGCACAGCCTCAGCTACTCTTCTCAAATGCAGGGCCTGTGGCCTGCCACAGCCCAGCGGCTTGTTCGCCCACCGAAGGCCTCCCTTTTTCCATTCAGCTCAGGCGAGGGCATCTTGTCCTCAAGGGTTTTGATGGTCTGGTCAATCTCGGGGTATCGCCTCAGCTCGGTTCCTCAGTGACCTTGAAAAAATGGGACACCCAAAGCTTGGAGCTGCCAACTTTTAGTTGGGGGACCCGCTCTTAGCACAGAAAGTAGCGAGACCTTACACCATGGTGTCCAAAATCATGTTGAACTATCTTCCGGAGGATGAAACATGGTTGAGGGTCACACGCAACCAAAAGTGGCAATCTAAAAAGAAAGAGGCACACAACTTACCGGTGCGATAGGTAGGGAATGAGGGAATGAACCCAAGATTCCCCTCAAAGGAAATACAAGGGATGATTTATAGGGGTCCTTCCATGTCTCATTCCCTGCAAGAAAACCCAGGGGTTCAAATCTCAAACCACCAATCCAGGGTTGAAACATCCCTAAAGGTCGCGCACTCAGTGCTCAGAGACCCGGATTTCTTCCTTCGGTTGACACATCTCCCCGGGTATTTTTTTTAGGGGTTCATTCCTTCCATGTCTCATTCCCTGCTTCTCTCGCAGCAGCAGGAAAAGCTCAGTTGCCCAAAGGACCTGGAACCAAAAGGTTCACCTTTTGGGTCCATGACTCAAAATGGGATCCCAAAATTGGAACACCAAAAGGTCAGTTCAGGTCGATTCGCTTCTTTCACCACTGAGAACACGCGAGCAGGTCCCGACTCTTCGACGCTTCGACGCTTCGACGCTTCGAGCAGCTCCCGCAGCGTCTCGATGGTCTCGAAGGTGGTGGCCACCAGTCGGCCCACGTGCCCCAGGCCTGATGAGGGGCCCGGTGGAGTCCTTCCCCAAACGCCGCCCCAATGCCTTCAGATCCCCCAGGCGTCCCCAGAATTTCCCAACGGTACTACACATCTCTTGGCGGAGTTGAAGAGAGCTCTTTGGTGGGGTGATTGGTCCGGCGAAATGGAAAGAACCTGGAGTTCCCTGCCTTTGAAGGGCCCCTTTCTTTCTTCATCAGGGGTTTCGGACAAATGTGCCTTCTTTGGCCACCCCTAACCCTTGGATGGTTCTTTGGGGGGGGTCCCTGATGAGGAGATATGGCGGATGTTACCACAATCCGCACATGCGTCTTTTCTTGAGGGACCCTAAAACAAGATAGACAGACCCCCACTATTTTGGGATGTGCACGATTGGTTTACTTGCAGAAGGGGATCGGGGCATCCCTCCAGGGTCGTCTTCGTATCTCTTGCCTTCTCGGTGGTCTGCCAGGAGGGCCGAGAAGGTCAGGTTCGCGTCCCCTGAAGAGCTCTGAATCCGAATCCCATTTGGGTGTGGCTCAAAATTAAGCAGGAGGGGTTACGCAGGTGTTGGTCCATGTTTCCACTTACCAGGGTTCCATAGGGTTCCAGTGTGGTACCGGTTTTTTGAGCCACAGCCATTTCGCGAGAGCCACATGAGCCGGAAAATCCATGTTGCATGCGTCGCTTCTTGCTGGCAGCTTTTTCCAACCTTCTTCCTGTGCGGGGTCTTAGGGGAAAAACACATTTTCCTAAGGGGACATTCCGTCAGCTTCCATTGGAAAGGGCGGGTAAGCCGTTCCCCCCTGTGGTGAAATCACCTCAAAGGCAAAGGAATCCTCGTGCCTACTCGAAACGGGCAGGATTCAGGACCGAATACTCGGGTCCCCCTCCCCTTTTCTTGGTTGACGTTGGAAGGGGAGCAAAAATTTCAATGCTGGCCGCTAAGTGGGGATTTCAACCACTGAACCACAATAAGCAAAAATGATCAAAATATGCCCCAGCAACAACCATGTCCCCCCCCATAAAACACAAGCACAAGGAGGGGGGGAAGAAAAAAAGCACCCACATTTTTCTGTGGGGCGATTTCTGGCCGGGCAAGCCCACTGGGAGGGGAGGTCCCAGAACCAGAAGAGGACATTCCAGAAAGGGCCCCCCTGGTTTCGAGAACTCGGCAGCCAAGGCCCTCGGGCGTCCGATCTCGAGCGAACTCCCAGCCTACCACCAGCGCATCCGCCACGGAGTCGATGAGCTCCAGGCGGTTGAACCTCCCATGCCGGTGAAGTACCCTCCCCACTACGGGACTTGATAGGTACCTGAAAGATCAAACTCCTCCTGAAAAAAAAATCTGCCAGCTGCCATGGAAGTGGGATAGAGGGTAATTACTCTGCAACAGGGTCCCTGCGATTTTCCAACATATTGAAAGAGATGCTTAAACGCAAAGGGAAATAGAGCCCTCTGCACATGTTCTCAGGCGACTTTTGGCTCCCACGCACGCGTCCGAAAAATGTGGCTTTCGGGCGGGCATGCTAATCCGCAGGAACAAACTGCCACCCCTTTTCAATGTCACGGAACTATGAAGGGGCCAATGAAATCACTTAAAGGCATTGGGGGCAAAGATTGCCCATGCGTTCCAAGAGCAGCCAACATGTCTTCCATGCTCAAAGACACCATAATTGCGAAACGCTAGCCTCCTCTGACAAAGCTGTCCCCATGCCCCGAGTGTTTTCCGGCACGCGGCCACGCACGCTCCCAGCCCCCAGCCCACCCCCCACCCTCCACCGCCCAGTCATGAGCAAGGCTTGGCTGAGGGCGGATCAAGAAAAACCTGGCCTGCTGACACAAAGCAGTCCGGGATGGTCAGGCGCTGCCTCCTGAGGATTTGATTTGGCGCCAGCTTCACATGTTTAGCAATAGTTGCCCCCAGTGCAAAACAAGCTAGGGAGTGATTCCCGATTGGTTTCAACCATGGATCTCAAAAATGCGGTTGGCTCCCCCTTAGGTTCTGGGTGTTTTCTGAAAAGACTGATCCACGAACAAAATGGGGACATTGGCTGTGCAGAAGTGTGTCTTGTTGTTGGATAGTTGAAAAATGCAACCCAATGGCAGCGAAGACTGGGGTTAGCATTTCATCCGAATGGAATAGTCTGAGAGGCAGATCAGCAAGGGGCGGAAGAAGCTATAGGAAACTGACCAACCCCTGGCCCTTCAGGGTCCTTGAGATAAAACAAAACTCTCTGAGCATAGGTGTCCTTGCTGGAAAATGGATGGCCCTGGGGTAACTCTGGGGTAGATTCTAAAGCAACCCTGCCAACATATGTCTCTACATTCAGCTCATGCACCTGCATTGAACCATCATTGTTCCCGACTCACAGCTTGTCTCCCACTCAGCTTTTTGCAATGCTGGGCAATATTTAAAGATAACAGGCATTTGCACAAAGCAATTGCCGGACACCCCTACGAAGCAAAACGTCCTGAGTCAACGGCCGACCAAAAGTCCATTGCTCAGGGACTGAGAGTCATAGTTTGCTGGTGGAACCAAAAAACCACGCGAGGCAATGTGGGTATGGGCCGGTATGGGCCGGTATTTGTCAAAATAAAAACACCAGGATGGACCGCAGGTTTTAGTTTTTGGTTCCATTTACCAGGGTTCCATTTTGGGTACGCATTTTTGACCAACACCCATGTGGCGCCGGGGGGGGGGCAACTCGCTCGCTCTGAGTGAGAGAATCAGCGTCTCCTGGGGGTGCTTTCTCCAAAAAAACCCTCTACGACTCTACAAGAACCAGAGGTTCAAACCCAAATCCAAACCAAGTAAGGCGAACCTGAATCCTGAATCTATGTCATTACCCTTTCGCCCCTAAAAAGCATACAGGTTGACTATAGACCCCAACTGGGCCAATTGTGCGCCTACCGTGAGCCTCCAGGTCCCTGCAAACATGAGGTCATCACCCCTTTTTGGATAATGGCCAGCCATTTTTTAAGGGTCAGAAGGAGACTCCAGGTTGGCGCACAATTGGCCCAGTTGGGGTCTCTATGTCATAATCTGAATCAATGTCAGAACCCCTCACCCGCCCCCCCCCCCCAATAAAAAAAAAAAAAAAAAAAAACGGGTTCACTATAGACCCCAAATGGGCCAACTGGTGCGCCTTACCCTCCCACCAACTAGCATAGAACCTGACAGGGGGTCGCCTTGGAAGGAGAATGGTCTTCCAGTACCCCCCTGTCAGGTTCCATGTTGGTTGGAGTACCCGAAAAAAGGGGACAAAAAAAAAAACACGGGTTAACTATAGACCGCAGATGGGCCAACTGTGCTCCTTACCCCCCCCCAAAAAAAAAAAGATGGCCGCAAGCTCCTCAAACCCAAACGGCCGAACGACACCGAACAACCCGCCGACCGCTTCGCTGGCGTATCGCGCCTCGGCGTTCTCGGGCTCCTCTGGGACCATCTGCCCCGAGGCCTCCTCCAGCAGCTCCGCCACGGGCCGGGCGCCCGTGTACTCCCGCAGCACATAGCCTCGGTTGCGAAATCTGCGAAGCCCTGCTAGTTGTTTTTCTTCTTTTTTTTGTTGTTTTGTTTTTTTTGCGGGGGGGGGGGGATTTAATACGGAAAACCCAACTAAGTTGGCAACAAGTTATCAAGTCCTAACATCCCTTGGCAAAATGCACCAAAGTAGCCTCAGGTCCCTTCGGCTCCAGCTGGGTCTGGCCGTTTTTGGAGGGTTCCCATTTAAGGATTGGCTGGTTGAACAGAAAACCCGAAGGAACACCTCACCCATAGGTGGCCTTTTGCCGAAAAAAAAGGATGGGTGTCCCTGGTAAATGGGGCACAAAACCCATCTAAACCAGTGGAACCCATCGATTTTTGACCAGACGCACCCAAAAAGGACACTTATGCTCAGATCCCTTCGGCTCCAGCTGGATCTGCTTTGACTTTGGAGGGGTTCCCTTTTAAGGATTGGTTGGTTCAACGGAAGAGTGAAGGGAACACCTCCAAGGCTCCAACTGGCTCTGGGTCCTCTTTTAGGTTGGTTGGATGGCCTCAGAAAGGCTCCGACTGGGCCTGTTTTGACTTCTGGTTCCCTTATGTTCCCTTTTTAGGATTCCTGGAGATTCCAATGCCGGGGAATTCCTGGGCGTTCTGGTTCTCAAGGCGTTTTGGGCGTTTTATGCGGTTTGCGGTTTGTCGCGCTTTTTTTGCGGGCGGTTGCCCCTTTTTTGCGGGCGTGTTGCAGCAATTTGCGGGCGGTTCCTGTTTCTAGGCGTTTGCGGCAATTTGCGGGCGTTTGCGTCCAAAACAGGGTCAATGCCGAGAATGACTAGGAATTCCTTGACGTTTGAATCTCCAGGTTGGTTGTTTTAACGGAAAACCAGCAGGAAAACAACTTGCGTTGGTCGGTCCAACGGAAGAATGAAGGGAAAAACCGGGGTCCGAGGATTCCTTTTCTCAGACACACCCAAGTGGATGTGTCTCAAAATCACCCCTCCAAGGCACGTCATGGTTTTACATCGGCTCCTGTTTTTTACAACCCGAAGCGGGTACCCGCAACCAAAACACCCCAACCGGTGCCGGAATGTCCGGGTTTGGAGGTTCAAAGGCCCTACGGATTGAAGGCCATCCGATCCTGAATGCAAATTGGGCGGAAGCCTCTGGCCATGTTCCAGGGTTTCAGTTCTGCGGCCCGTTCGTTGATGGAACTCGTGGGTCCCAAACCCGAGGGTGAAGTGAACTGCTTGCCTCTGTTGGGTTGAAAATCAGGTTAGCAAGCGAGTGAAACCTCATGTGGCCGTGGGTCAACATCAATGGCACCATTTTGGAACCATTTTAGTGCATTTTAGTGGGGATTGGGATGTTCAATGGCAGTACGGGGTTTTGACCCATAGCCATGTGGGAGGGGCGTGTTCCCCCCACTCACTACCAAACCTCTCGGCGGCCCCGCGGCCAAGTCGGCCAGGGTGAAGAACCCATCCCATCCACGCGAGCAATTGGCATAGATGTATGTTTTTCGAAGGCACGGTTTTTGGGCTACGGTTTGCTCAAACTACCAAACCAACCAAACAACCTATTTGTGTTTTTGTTCTCTCTCTGTCTCTTTTTTTTGGGGGGGAGGTCCCAAAAAAAATCCCCCATGCATAATAGACAAAAACACATATTTGTCCTTTGAGGCCTAACTTATTTTGACACATCGACTGCCCATGCTTCAAGATCCGGGGCGCGGAGCTCCTTGTGGCTAGCCTCCACCAGGCATTTCACCTCATCCTCATCCAGCTTCCACCTGCCAAGGGAAAGCGAAAAAAAAAGCCGTCGCCTTGGGCCGAGGCGCAAAACGGCGAAAAAAAGAGAGCGTAGTCTTGACGTGTACTCGGATCTAGTGTCTCACTTGCCCCTTAGAGACCCAGAAATAAAAGATGATCACCTGTTGGGGCCATGACTAAAAATGGGATCCCAAAACTGGAAAACCAAAAGGTTAAAAGGTCGGCTTTGGGCAACTGAGGTGTACATGATGGCACATATTTGCAATTATAGTTGTATGCAAGCTTATGTAAGACACAGGTGTATGTCCACTACCCATGTCTGTCATGGATGTCCTTCTCTCCTCCCTGCGGGCATTGAAATAACTCAGAGACAGTCGCAAAGGACAATTATGCTCGTCGCGTCTGAAAGGAACCCTTTTTAAACCCACAGGAAAGCCACTGAAAACAAGCTTTGGATGAGCCTTGAACATCATGAGTTCTATAGAGTACATCATCTTTGAGGGGGTGTTAACATCGTAGAGCTGGGTAGGGGAATCAAGCAACTTCCACACAGAATTTGAAGGATTGAGACACCTTTCTGGCAAAGGGGGCTGGACAACTGCAGCCACCGCCAATCAGCATGTCGTCTTCCTTTGGATGGACTGAATGAGGAGTGCCCCCCGCTATAGGGGGCTTCTCAGAAAGAGATCCTGGATGGGTGGGGTTCCTTCTGATCTTCTTGAGGACACTACTAGTTTCTAGTTGTTCGGGTTAGCTCATGCCCCCCTACCTGTGTGGGGATGGGGCGGGGTAAAGGTCCCCAATTCCTTGTCTGCCCCACAAAAGAGTAAATTGAACTTTGAATGGAATTCCAGGGCCACCCCGCTCCCCCCAATTTCAAGCTTAAGGGGGGTGGGCATGCTCGGAGGGTAAGCCCTGGATCAGCCTCTCAATGGGTCGCCTTTGCTGCAGCTTGTGCTTCCATTGTTCTTCAAGAGCGTGATCCATTCTTGGTAAGCTTCGACATGCGAAATGCATAGTTTTGCTCAAAATAAAGCTAAGTCTTAAGATCCGGGTCCATCACTTCCCAAGTGGGCGGGCCAAAAAAAGCCTGAACTTGTCACACAGCACCAAAACGGTCTTCCCCCCAAAAAAACAAACAATCCAGGCACTCAGGAAGCGATATGCGACATCTAAAACGAGCTCACCCACGCCTGACTTTCCAGGCTTCGATCACATCCACCTTGTCCCTGCTGCACAGGATGTCTTCCCGGGCGAAGATCAGCTTGTCGTTGACCTGCTCCGCCGGAGACTTGGGATCCTTGCCGTTCTTCATGACCTGGCCCTGGCGGCTGTGCCGCTTGGCCCATGTAGACCCCAGATCCAGTCCATGGCGGAAAGGGAAGCCACCGAACCAGATTTGCTTTGGACAAGCCCGCAAAATGCAGGGAGCAGGTCTTGGTTACACATTTTTCTCAACCATAGGGGTTGCCCAAGTTTCCGCCATATTGGGTGTCCCTGTGAAACAAATCGGCTATTCAGCACATGCCCAGAAACCCAAACTTGATCTCACGCTCTCGCAGAAACGGTGACTTCACGGTTAAGACCCGACAGCCACGGGTCTTTTTTTTTGGACCTTTCGGTTGAGGCTACTGTGGATGGTTGCGAACTCCGCCTCTCGCACCACCGCTCAGAAACCCATCGGAATGATGAGAAATTCCCCTGTAAGGTTCCAACCAGCAAATGGCTTCGAAACCCTGGTTTCATCTCGGTGGTGCGAGACTCGCGGATCGGATTTCGCGTAACCGTCCCACAGTATGACTCACCGATCAATTCTCAGTGGGGAGTTCCCCGAGCTTCAAAGCCGGGATCGCGCTCTTAAACAGTCCTGAGCGAATGTCAACAGGATGAAATAGACCATTTATCAGTAATGTTGACCCAGGATTTTCATAAACCCGTCCCACTATTCGGGGGGTGCTCCCTCCAAAAGTGGTCTGAATCTCCACTAAAAGGGGACACCCCCCTATTAATCAACCAGGGGTTTATTAATCCGGGGTTAGCATTATGGGGGTGTCCCTGGGTGTCTCTGGGTTGAGTGCGGTTCAGTCTGGGGGTGTCCCTGGGTTGAGTGTTCATCACTTCTGGATGGGAACATGCCCGTGTTAATAAGCAGGGGTTCATTCATCGGAGGTCCACCTTTGAGCGTCACCGGTTGCCGAACTTGCGACAGAAAACAACCCCGTCCGTGCCCTGTCGCGCCCTAATGTTGGGCTTCCACCCAGACTTTGCCACCACTTGGACATCCTCCAGGTTGGCATTCTGCAGGACATACCTTTCAAGACAGAAACAAAGCAGGGCCGCTGTCTTGGACCCCAAAACGCCCCAAAAACGTCTGAGTTCTCCTTCAGATTTCCCTTGCAACTCAAAACCGGTGCCCTCAAAAAACAGGCCCAAGCATGTATGCAACTGCAGAAAAGGGAGGTCGAAGAACCGTGAAACAGATTAATTCCTTGCAAGAGCTTCCTGCTCTGGACTGGACATGTGCATAAAATCGGGAAAGTGTGGCCACATTCAAGCTGGGGAGCCCACAATTTCAAGTAGCATGGGGCCATGGGGCTCACATGCACTGGGGTTCAGCCACCACCAAAACAATGCCTTTTTCTTGAACAACCATTGTTTACCTAAGGACTGTCATCATGAAAATCGTGTCAATTCTTTTGTGGGAAAACAATGCCTTTTTCTGTAACAACCATTGTTTACCTAAGGACTGTCATCATGAGAATCGTGTCAACCATTCTTTTAGCGGAGGTTGAGCCCTAGGGCACATCCTTCCCACAACGCCGACTCGCAAGCCTGGTCTGGAAACATCGCCTCTGACTCTTTGCCCCGCCGGCTAAACACAACTCTGCTGCTGGCCTAGTTGTGCACGCCAAACATCTCTAGCAACGCGCACGGTATGAGCGCACACTCACACACATCATGAAGCAAATTCCCGTGTCATTGTTCAAAGCCAACCGGGCGTGGAAATCCCGACCACTCAATCGCTGGGCTGGCATTCCTGGCTTGTTCAAAGCAGCCACTTTCAAATGTGTCGGAGATCTAGGGCTGCCCTTGCGGCTATACATGGGCTGTGACTGGGAGTTTACCGGGAGTGTAACCCGACTTGTATGCAAACAAATGTGTCAGAACTACGTGGCGCGCACAACCAGCTCAGGGCTAATCCTAACCATACACCAGCTATTATTGTTTACTCAGCGGTTGCAACGGTACGTTCTAGACCTCAGTTTACTCAGCGGCTGCAACTTTGACTCTATAGACCTCACTCCTCACTTGCCCAAAGAACCCAGAAATAACAGGTTACTCTTTTGGGACCTTGATCAAACGTGGAACACACATGGGGACACCAAACGGTCAAAGGCGGGCTTCTCCCTTGAGTTTTTAGGCGGTGCGAAATGGATTCTCAACCATCCACAGTACCTCTGCCTTCGATCTAAACCCTTCCATTTGCTTTTCCCCCTCCCCCTGGAAACAACTGAAACCATGTCTCCAGTGGTGATATCGATTCACCCAAGAACTAACAGGAGGAAAACAACACAACAGGGTTCCACTTTTTGAGCACCCCGGGGTAGACTTAAACCCCTGGGTTTGAGTCTTTCTTGCAATCAAAAAGTGGCAACCCCGCTGCCCCTCCCCAACGACAAAAAAACACAAACAAAAACACACACACACACACACACACACACCAAAAAAAAGAGTAGCACCTCCCCCCCCCAAAACCCCCACCCCCCCACCTAAAAAACAACCACCACGGGACCCCAAAAATCCCCCGTCCGCCGGAGTCCGCAGCGCCTCACGGCCGGATCCTCCGAGAGCATCCAGCGGTCCAGGAGCTCCTGCCGCTCTGGCTCCATGGGGGGCTCCTCCTGGGTCCGACTACCGACAGCGGGGGGGGGAGTGGGGGGGGTGGAGGGGGTTGGGGGTGGGGGGGGTTGGGGGTGGGGGGTTGCGGGGGGTTAAGAGGGTTGGGGGGGTTGGGGGGTGTTGGGGGGTGTTGGGGGGGTTTGGGGGGGTGGGGGGGTTGGGGTGGGGGGGGTGGGGGGTGGGGGTGGAGGGGGGGATTGGGGGGAGGGGGGTGTGGGGGGAAGGAGCCACTTCCACGTTCCTAGTACCTCCATTTGCTTAAAGGCGCCCCTGGAAAAAGTGAGAACATATGTCCAGTAGTGAAATTGAGTCCCTTTAAAACCACCAGGGGAACATATGAAAAACAAAACTTAAGCACATGAAACGTCTGGTGCCAACAGATCCGAATCCCCTTCCCTCAAGATGGGCGGGAGGGGAGGGGGAGTGGGGGGGTTTCGGTCCGGGACTCCGGGACCCCATTTTCCAGCTTCCTAGCCTTCTCGAGGGAATTTGAAATCATAAATGGAATTGAGGGGCCCCGGCAAGTTCCAATTCCATTTTGACAGCTGTGGAAGTGTAGGGATGCCAACAGAACCTCAACTCTGCTTCTGCTGGCTCCTTGCGATCCGTTGTCTGGTAAAATGGATCTCCAATTCCTCGACTCCTATGGTAAAGACCGGAATCTACGCTGGGTAGTGGATGTTCTTGTTCATATTCAATGGACACCCTACGTCCCACCACGGCCCCAACCACTCCCAGTAGATCCGAAACACTGCTTGGATACCCCCAGCTCCGAAACACTCCCTAGACAAATATGGATGCCCCCAGACTCGTCCGTCCCTTCACGGACCAGCGCTTCTGAGATAGATCTGAGCAACTCAGCTGTCCAAAGGACGCAGAGATCAAGGGTATACCTTGACACCTTTTGGGGTGACTTAATGAGAACCCAAAAAGAGTCCACGCCAAAGGCTCATTTCAAGTCCTTTTGAGGGGAGCCCCTTTTTTTGACACCAACCAACATGGGGGTACCCAACTCGAGCCACCCAAAGGTCGATTCGCTTGGGCAACTGAGCCATCAGAGGCGTCCTCCAAGCGCCGGCGCTTGTTGTTGCCTTCATCGAAGCCTCGGAGATGCTTTTGGAGCGAGCCCAGCCAGGCGGGAGTGTGGGTGTGTCTGTATGCAAAACCTGGATTTGGGCCAAAATCCCGGAAAACTGTAGGTAAATGGCAAAATAGGGAATTGGGACCCCCGCAATGGCTTCGGCCTTCCCTTTGTCTGCTCTTTAAACCTGGAATGGTTGGGTCGCAACACAACAGAGCTAGTCAAAATAGTGGAACGGTTCCTTGTCAGCGGGCGGGGCATCAATCTCAATACGGACCACCTTTTTCGTATCCCTGCAGCCCCTGTGACCTTAGAGGAGCCTCATGCTTGCTGCATGCCTCAAAACGGCAGGTCCCGTTTCCCACCCTCTGCTAGCATCGCAGGCCTTTGCTAATTCAACAGGCAAGTCATGAAAAGCCACGGGGAGGGGGTGGTCTCAGAATCGCACCTGCCGCATGCTGGCCTTTGATACTATTCTTTTCTCCTGGCGAAGGCCCAACTTTAACCAAGCCTTCAGCACTGGCCGCGTGAGCCTACGCAAAGGGAACTGGCCACGAGCCTACGCAAAAGCCGATCGAGATCCTCAGGAGGCTGAGCAAGAACGCTCTCCTACTGTCAGCAGGCAGGCTGCCAAATAAGCTGTTCCATTACACTGCAGCTTTCCAAAAGCCAAAAGAAACAAGGCGCCCAAGGAGCAAAATCCGAACATAGCCTGGTCTCAGCCCCATCTGGGACCTAGAAACCAAAGGACCCACCAAAAATGGGAACCCCAAACATGGACAAACCCAATATTCAATTGCCCAACGGACCCAACAATGAGAGGTGAACCTTTTGCCGCCATGACTAAAAATGGGATCCCCAAATGGGCTCCACCTCAAAGGTCAGTTCGATCGGTCGATTCGCTTACGACTGAGACCACAAGAACCAACAGACACGAAAACCTTTCGAGCCACGAAAAAATGGGAACCCAAAACATGAAAAGCCCCAAAGCAAGGGCCAACTTCAGGTTCATTCGGCTTGCTTGCCGCTGAGGTCTTGCCTGAAGGCTTGGCTGGAATTCGGACCCCAGCAAAATAGTGTTTTGCCTGGTTAGTGGAAAACAAAGGGAACCCCCAAAAAAGCCAAACAAAAAGGAACTAATTCTGGGGAAGAAGGCTTGAAGCGCTCGTACAGCCTGCCTTTGCCTGAGGTGCCCACTCACCTGTGGTGCTTCTGCCGGGAAAAAAAACCCTCTGCCCACGTGGCCATGCGGAAAACTTGCGCGCCTTGGTTGGAAACATGAACTATAGAGCCTGCAATGGGTTCATCCCTCTCAAAGGAACCGGCTCTGATGATTCTAAAAGGAACTGCGCCTCCTTCTGAAACCAGCAGTACGCTTGCGATGATCATTCGAGGTTGTTTCCAAAATGTGCAACCCCCTAAACAGGTGGCTTCCCTCTCCCTCTAAATCAACCTCAAACTGCACGCCCATTTGCGTGCCTGTCCCTATCACCGTGGCGCTGCCATAGGTCTGATTGAGCACGCGCTTCAAGCTCAAGCTTCCTGTTCCGAGGTTCGAACAACCGGAAAAGCCACGCAGGCTAAGTCTTCGTGTTAGACCCTGGCACCCATTTCCTGAGCGGAAATTGGTCCAGGAACTCAGCGAGTAAGGGGATTGCACCCTTGAAGCGTGAAACGTCATTGTTCGCCACAGGTGCTGGTTACCGCAAAAACTCCACGGGTACCTTGCAACCATTCTTTCCAGGGATCCTTCTTTCTAGAAAACCTCCGGAAACCCAGGGAAAACAGCCGGTTTTTGGAAAGAACGATGGTGGAAAAGAATGGGGAATCAACCCCAGGAAAAACGGGTCAAATCTTGGCACGCAACTTTCTAAGAAACCAACTACAGGAAGTTCTACAGGAAACCCGATTTTGGTGGAAATTTGGCTAGTTTCCTGTAGAATTTCCTGTAGCTGGTTTCCATGAAAACTTGGGCACTGGACCACATCTCGGTCCTTGCACTGCCTCGCGCATGTCCTCCGGGACATCCGACAGCTTGATATCCTTGCCAGCTCCCCGGAGAAAAAAGCAAACTCTGGGATGGGGACTCCAATGGTGTCACCAAAAGTTTGCAACCTATTAACCACACGTTCACAGCTCCAATATACCCTGAGGCATGGGTAGAACAAGCTGGCCCCCAAAGGAAGGCCAGCCTCTTGCACAAGCGTTCCCATGGGATCTATCAGTCGAAACCTGGTCCTCAGAGTTTTTGCATGGCGTGTAGACGTGTGACCCAACCCTGGAGCATCTAAAACAACATAACATGTCAACTGATTCGCTAAAATATTTCGCCAACCTCTTGGGCGTAGCTCACAAAAAGGGCCGCCAAAATGGAACCCTGGCTTAATGGAAAAGTAGGCCAAAGCCTACGGTCAGGCTCCTAAAATTCCAGCAACACCCATATGCTATGTAGCCAAACTCATGTCCTAAGCGCCTGGCCCCAAAAACAATTGGTCCAAGCTGCTGGTGTACCACGCAAATTGGCCCAACCCACAAAGTCGAAAGTCCAGGAACTCGGAAAAAAAAAGCTTGCAACCAAAAGAAACATGCTCAGCAAGTGAGCTGAGTGGGCGAAAAAGCATGCAGCTTGCAACTGGGGCTCGGTTTCTCGTCCTGGCACCACCTCGTCCTCTGCCGTCACCACCTCCTCCTCTGCCTCAGGGTCTTTCTGCGGCTCCTGACGGAACTACTGGCTGGCCCGAACAACCACCCAATGACTTCCATTTGCTGAAGCCCCCCGGGAAAAAACAAATAATTTCCAGTAGTGATAGATTTCCTTTAAAACCAACAAGGGAAAATCAAAACTATTCTTAAGCAAGCGGAAGATGAGCATCGCAACCAGTTTTGGGGAATCTCCAGATTGAACTTGTCAATTCGCACTTCAAGGGCTTCGGGTGCAGGGTAGGGTGCTTAAAAGCTAGCTGCCAAATAGCTGGTAGCCATGGTAACAGCCCACTTGGGGACTTACAATCATTTGTTCCGCTGGGACAACTTTACAACTTGCAACCATGGTACTTCAAGCACTTACTTCCTGACTGCATTGGCCAAAACACACATCGAACTTTCTGTTCGCCGCCCTGGGTCCAAACCCAAACAGTGACAAACATCCGGAACGGAACTCATGAGAGTACCATTCTGTTCTCTGCATGTCACTCCCTCCAATTGGTGGTTTACAAATTGGTCCTTTGGTGGGTTGGTGGATTCAATTCAGGGCTGTGGGAAAGGACCACTTCTGTTATACAACAAAAAGGGCTTCCCAAAGACTAACGCCCCATACAAAGGGGGAGATTCCCTTGTATCACAGAAGTGATTGGATAAACCCCGAGTGATCCCACAACCCCGATTCAAATCCATTTCTCCTCTAAGAACCAAAAACCGGTATTGGTGGTTTAGATATTGGTCCTTTGGTCCTTTGGTGGGTTAGTGGATTCAAATCCAAAAACCGTTCAAATCCCACACCGCTGGGCTCCAATTTGTTTTTTTTGTTGATCCACGTCCTCGGTGTCGCAGCCCAATTCTTGCAGCTCTTCGAACTCTTCCTATCGGGGCAGTGGAAAGGCCTCATGGAACCTGACGTTGCGAGGGGTCCAATAAACCTAGAGACACCCCTCTGGAAATAGGACGGGTTATTAACCCGGGAATTCCAGCCAAACTTTTTGGCCGGAGACCCCAAATATGATCATTCGTGCGGTTGAGCAGCCGCTTTTCCCACGATGCTCCCTCGATGCTCGGTTTTCCGAGCCCCCGAAGTTCCGAGAAGGGAGAATTTTAGCTGGTCTCTGGTCCAAAAAGGGGCCAAAGACACGCGGCTTCCGCTTTTCCGGGTGCAGTCCTGGAGCTCGTCCTGGAACTCTTCTTCCAGTTGCAACTCTTCCTCCAGTTGCTCTTCCTCATCGAGGAAAGCCTGAGGCGCTCGAAAGTGGGATGTGCTGGCTGAAGGTCATGTTGTGGGTTGGGTAGTTCTACAGGTGTTGCAACCCAACGGTTCAAAGCCTTTCTACCCTTACCTGTATAACACTTCCCTTTTCAACACGACCCCCAAATGAAACGCGCATACAGTTGGCGACCAAAGTTATATTCAAAACCTGCAACCTTCCAAAGGACAAGCCGCCCAACAGGCGCTATGCTAGAGGGGTACTTCTTTTAGATGGTTTCAGGGTATTGCTTGTTGGCTCAGTACTCCGCCCTTGGGTAGGGGATTTGGAACCGCCCTGCGCGGTTGCGCGCCTCCGGCTGCTCCTCTATCTCCTCTAGCTCCCCCTCATCCTCGCCTATGCCGGGATCCTCGAGCCCGGGATCCTCGTCCCCATTGAGCTCCACCTCTACCTCCTAGGCAGACAGCGATCTACGCCTTTCTTGTTGGTACTCAGTGGGGCCTCCAAACCTGATGTCAAAATCCACCCGGGGAAAACATATATGCAAAACTAGGTCCTCCAGATTTGAAAGGTTAGAATAAGTCGGTACCAACTTTTTTCCGGTAGTCTGTTTTAGTAGGGGAACCCTCCCCCAAATAAGAAACGGTAAAAGGGCACTACTGGGGGACCTAGTTGTTGGTGCTCAGTGGGGAATGTGGGAATGAACCCATTTTGTTCCCTTCAAGGAAACCTGCCTATCTCGCACCAGCAAGTTTTTGCCCTCCTGCCCTCCTGCCGTTTTTTGGCTAATCATGGAACTGGACGTGACAGGGGGCCTCCCCGAAAAGAAAGCTGCCTTCCAGAAACATCTGCCTTCCAGAAACATCTTGCCTTCCATGATTGTTGAAGAGAGGCTGCATTGCATTCCAGCTTCCATCCGCGAATTCTAAAGTTGAGCCCCTGGTGTTGGCGAACTTCATCGTGAATGTTTGGTATTGGCAGGTTTCCAGTTTCTCCTGGCAAGGCGAACCATGATGCAAAAACCAGAAGTAATATTGCAAGCGCAAAGTGTCTTCAACAGGAAGCTGTTTTGAGTTGATCCAATGAACGGGCTAGGGGGATGCAAAAGAACCCCCAAAAAGGCCTGAATCAACCCCAAACCATCCCAAGACCCACCCTCGTGAAGATCTAAGCCAGCCAAGAGCCCCCCTAACTTAAACCAGCCCCCGGCAACTCCCAACTGCCACGAAAAAGAATCAGAGCCCATAGACGGCCCCAAGGCCAAGTGAGGCTGTTCAGCTTTTCCGGGATCGAAGCGAGCCAACTCACCGAAGCCGTCACGAACCCCCCTGATCAGGTCCCAGGAGTAGCTACTTCTCTACTCTTGGCATGGTAGCCAACATCCAATTGGCTTCTTTTTTGCAGGCCCAGATTAAAAGTGAACAGAACCCCAAACAACAACTAAAATATGTAACTTTGACTTTTTATGGAAGCCCAACCAACAACTTGCCACGAACAGTGAAGCTTTGATTTCAAAGGCGGCACAACTTCTAATGCCCAAGCCGAGGGCACTCGTCTAACCTCTGTCGCTCCCTTCCCCCCTGGTGAGCAGAGTTGCCTTTCTTACCACCCCCGAAGGAAAGACTTCCTGAGTAGATTGGCCAAAAAACTCTGAACTGTTTGTGTGCCACCAAGATGGTCTTCCCGAAAAGTTTGAAGTAAGTGAGAGGAAACTCACCTTACAGGCGCCTCACAGGCGAGGTTTAAACCCAATACACCGAGCCCTGCGCCTCCTCAGACTCTGCCTCGTCCAGAGCTGCCCAAGGATCATCCTCCATGGTACGGCCAATGGCCGCAGCAAGGTCGCTAGTGCGTGTTTTTTTTTTGTGTTGCTTTTTTTTGTTTTGGACTGGGGTGGCTGAAGGCGAAAAAAGGACAATTCTTCCAGTGGACGGAATTCGTTGTTTCTTGTCCGGGTCTGGAGGGCAGCCTGAGTTTGTTCCAAGGATGCTGTGACATGGCATGAAGCTGAGCCAAAACAGCTGCACGCGGAAGACCTAGAGCATGGAAGCCCTGACAGCCACACAGATGTGAAAGTCTGACAAGATTCCAGAGGTACACTCCCTCAGACTAACAGCCGGAAGCTCCCAGAAGGCCTCTGTAAATGGAAGCCAGTATTCCAGGGATGCTTCTAGAAAACCTCCGGAAACCCAGGCAGAACGGCCGGTTGTTGGAAAGAACGATGGTTGAAAAGAATGGCCATGGGAAATCAACCTATAGAAAGAGTTGGGTGAACCTAAATTTCGTGTAGCCGTCCCCATCGCGAAGCCACAAAAAGGGGATGGTGCCATCTAGGTGCAAGGACCCTGGCTGCCGCCCGCAAGCAAGCATGAAAGCTGTACACCCGAAATTGACGGCAAGAGCAGAGACATGCAAAGGCCTGAGCCCCGAACAAATCCCATTTCGACTCACTTGCTGAGTAGGTTGGCCAAAAAAGTCGAAACACTTGTGTTGTTTATATTGTGAAAGTGGTCCAAACCCACCCAGTGATTCCATTTACCCATATAGGTAACCAAATGTAACCAAGGAAACTACTTTTCAAAACCAAAAGGAACAAGTATTGGTCACCCACTTTAGTGGCTTGCCTGGATCCACTGGGCAAAAGAGTGACAGCTCCAGAAACTCGGAGAGTGCACCTCGAACTCCTCGAACCAAACCTCTCGTTGCTGAGTCTCCAACAAGGCCTTCGCCTCGTAGTCCCCAGGCCTCCGGCGTGCGTGGGCCACGGGGGCTTTTGACAGGCCCAGTAGATCCCAGTTACCACTCCAGTAGTTGCCTATGGGTACATGGAACCACTGCGAGACTGAAACCCCCAAACCCAACTTCACTTCAAGTGGCTAATAACAAAGGATCAGCTTCGTGTTTGGCGGGTTTTGACGGGGTTGACGGACTGCGGTTTCACAAAGCTGGCCAACAAGAGAAACCAAAAAGGTAAAAAACAAAACAAAAACGCGTTCACTGGACTGAGGTTCAAGGGCAACTCCTCCGAGGCTTGCTTTCTGCTTTCGTTTTTCAAATGGCTGTGGGTCAAAAATAGGTACCCTAAATTCAGCCCTGGTAAATGGAACCGAGGACGGAAACCTGCGGTCCATATCCTGGTTTCATTTTGACCTGTACCCAATGGCCATGGGTCAAAAGCCAAATCGTACCCCCAGTGAACATCCCAATCCCCACTCAAATAGGTTCTAAAATGGGTGAATTCACCTACCCCAAAAAATGGTACCAAAACGGTTTTGACCCGTACCCTTAAATCTCCGCCTCCTCTTGAAACGGGGGCCCCAAGGAGCGCACATGTGGGTCAAAATTAAACCACCGGGAATTGGACCACAGGTCTTAGTCCATGTTTCCATTTACTTGTTGGTTCCACCTGGCTTGCTTGCTTGCTTGCACTGGGTTCGCTGCCCCGGTGTCAGCTCTGTCCTGAGTCGTCCGAAAGCCGCAAGGTGGGGGAAACTTGGTTGCAACGACCCCCCTTGCAAAAAGTGGATCACTTGTTGGGGGTTTAGTACGGAAAGACCTACCATGGTCGTAAGCCCCCAAGTCGATTCTAAGAATGAACAATTACCGAGCACCCTGCCCCTTCAAGCAGAATTCCCTCCCGGCGTCGCCTGGGGTGGGTTCCCCTATCACTCCCTTGCACTTTGGAAGACGTAGGTCCATGTACAGCCTTCAGGACCTTCCATCTTCCACCTCACTGGGTTTCCCATTCAACGTGGTTCCAATACAATATGCCACTGTTGGAGATTCAACAAAAGAGACATTGAGGCACTCTTGGTATATCCCAACAGGCTTGCGGCTCGCCAACTCTTGCGGGTTAATGCTATAGGTTGACTAGGGCCGCCAGCCCCCAAGTTACGCCAATTGACGGCTTGCAGTTGCCCAGTAGCCCTGGTAGAAGTGGGCCCCCATTTTTCGGCTGATACCGTTACAAGTGCAAGATGTTGGACTAGAAAGGCAGCTCGTCTTAAGGTCCAGGAGCCCTTTTGGCCGTTGCCAACTTTTAGTACTGAGAAACCGTGGTGCTCTTATGGGGGGGTTCGGAGGAAAACAAAACATATTCTTGCCTCTCAGGCTCAAAGCCTCAAAGGGGATAGCTTGCGCAAAAGGCTTCCAACTGCTCAGCGGCAAAAACCTGCAAAAGCTAGCTTTGACTCTGCTCGGATGGAACCGTGAACTGAAAGATTGGCCTGCAAGTGAGACCGACGACCATGGGCCAAGCAACCAGGCAACGGCCAACCCTTGCAAAATGGTGCAGCTCACAATCTGTGGGCTGCAAGGACCTGGCTACAAACTCGGAAGACTAAACCAAAATCGCGGAAACCACATAGTTGTTTAGTTTGTTTGTTGTGTGTCTGACATTTCGGGATATACCACTAGCATCGATGTTTGCGGCTTTCTCGCGCTCGACGCGTGGATTCGATCCCAGTCGAAATCAGGCTTACATTTCCGCACATCATTTTGAAGAAAGCTCACCTGGGGGGCCCAGGCTTTATTGTTCTCTCAAGTGCACCGTTCATGGGCAAGCTCGGCCAAAGAGAAAAAATAAGACGTGCGGCACATGCGCGGGTCCCGAAGAGTCTTCAGGTTGCCGCATTCCAGGCAGTGCAATTCGCCCACGAGTGAGCAGCACGTCGGCAGCGGCAACCAATTCAGTCAGAGGACATTTAAAATAGCGAAGGTAGATGGCACTATGTTCGGTAGATGGGTAAGCCTGATCAAATAATCTAATCCTGCTCTGTTCTTTCACTCGCCTCCCCGAATTTGCTACTAAAATGGTCCAAACCCAAGTGGCCATGGGTCAAAATCCAAATCCTACCCCCAGTGAACATCCGATTCAATCCCCACTAAAATGGGTGGTTAATTCACCTACCAACCAAAATGGGATCCCAAAACGGCTTTGACAACCACAGCCAAGCGACTACAGTCCAGGAACTTTTTTGTGTTGAGCCTCCAAAGTGGTCTTCCCACGTTTCCGGAGCGTGCTGAATTTGTTGAATTTGGAGTATGGCATTCACCCGTCCAGGAACTCGGGGAGTGAGCTCTGGCTATGGAACCAGTCCGGGCTGTGAGGCCCCTGGGGCGCCTGGGGCCCCCGGCGGCGGCTCCAAGCGTCCTGTCTGCGTAGAGCAGCCGAAGGGCCAAGAGGCCTGGGAGTTGCGCCTCGGGCGACAAACAAAAAGCGTGGCAAGCAACCGGGGGTCCCTACATAGGTGCCCTGTTTGGGGCAGCAAGTAGTTGGAAAACCATGGGAAACCACATTTTGTTGGTATCTGAGGCGGTGCAGGATCTCGGCCATCCACAGTAGGTGCCGGGTTTGGGAAAAATCGATGGGGTTCCCTGGCAAGTGCAAGAAACTCCTAAACCAGTGCAACCCATCTATTCTAACCTGACGGTCGCGAACTCCATTTCGCATTTTTTGGAAACCATGGGAAACCAACTGGTTTGTTATCTGAGGCGGTGCAGGATCTCGTGCATCCACAGTAGGTGGCCGGTTTGGGGAAAAATCGATGGGGTTCCCCTGACAAATGCAAGAAACCCCCATCGAAACCCCACCAAACCCCCATCTAAACGCAAGGAAAGTAACGCAAGCAGCAATTACATACTGCGGATGGTGGCGAATTCCATTGCGCACCGCTTGGAAACCACGGGACACCATTGCTCGTTGGTATTTACAGGCGAATCATCATTGCAGGGTTTCTGAGGTGGTGCAGGATTTCGCGCATCCACAGTAGGTGGCCTTTCGAGAACATAGATGGCCCTGGGTACATGGAAGGCAAGCCCACCTAACCCAGTGGAACCCAGCTATTTCTAACCAAACAAACCAATCATCGGTTTTCCGTGGTGTCCCGATTTCAGAAACAAACCCATATGGCCATGGGTCGAAAGCCTGCACCCCCAGTGAACATCCCAATCCCCACTAAAAAAGACAAAAATGGGTGGTGTACCTACCCCAAAATGCTGCAATATAGATGCACAATGATGGACTGTCTGCAGCCGGTTCACACAAAATACCCTGAAGAAACTCAAGATATGGCTATGGTTGTCGAAAAATAGGTACCCAAAGTGGAACCCTGGTAAATGGATTTCACCCATACCCCTATACCTTCTGCTGAGAAAACCCATACCCACCATTCACCCCAAGTCGCCTCGCCTGGTGCAAAAAAGGAAGCTCTCAACTTTGGAAAAGCGCGGAAGCGAACATTTGGGACCCCCCACACATTCAAGACACCCATAGACTCAGATGCCTGCAGATGCGGATCCTTATCTTGAAAGTGAATCTTTATCATCAAATGTCATATTCTTACCCCTTAAAACTCCAAGGATTGGGGAAGTTAACCTTTTACAGACATATAGCCCATGTTTCCCCCAAAAAGTTGAAAAGTTGTGTTTTTTAAGAGGCAAGTATTCCGAGCGGCTACTCATGCAGAAGCCACCTGCGTGTGTTTTTGCCACGAGCTTGCTCTGATGCGTTTGGATGAACCGTGCGGAAGCCGCACCAAGGGAACCCAAGCCCCAGTCAATACCGGGGTCGCCGAACAAACTGGTGGTGTCGATCGCCACTTTGAGAGGTTCCCAAAAGTAATCCCTTCTCAATGCTAAACAGTCCCGCGATACTAAAACCGACTTTCGAAAATCTGGGGGGACTCACTTAGAATTAGGGGGCCGTTTAGCATTAGGGGGAAGGGATTAGAGAAAAAGACAAAGTTCGTCAGCCAACACCAAGTACCAAGTGTCCCAGTTGTTTATCTCTGGTCGCGTCGCTGGTTTCTTTGGAGCATGTGCTCAAGGAGCGGCATGGCCGCACAGCTTTAAATGGACTTGTTGACTGCTGAGCAGTGGGAAGACAGGCGTTGGGCCAGCTGGGGGATGTATATAGTTACTTGCCCAAAGGAACTGGAAATAAAAGGTTAACTTTTTTGGGACCTCAACTAAACATGGACCAAACAGAGAAAACCAAAAGGCCGAAAGGTCGGCTTTGAACCACTGAGAAAAACTGATGACGCAAACTGGGGGCCATCCGAATGTGGCACACACGTCCCCAGTGTCCAAGCAACTCGAAGCCTGTATCTGACAACCTGCAATGCGCACGAGCCAAGCAGGCTCACCATTAGCAAATACTTGTTGGGAATGAAGCAACCTCCAACAAGCACTTTCACAGGGAAACACGGCTGAGGTTCCTAATAAGGCTTGATTTCAACTGTCTCCTTGAGTCATGTCGAAACCACCCCAAGAAGGGACTGCGGATGGACAAATTAATTATGCACCAGTTGCAGGTGGCTCTGGTGCAGGATTTTTGTTCCTCAGTGTAAAAACACCTGGCTAAGCATACTGGAAACTGCTAAAGAAGCTCAGAGGTACTGCTTCACTGACTCTGCCACAGCAGCAAGTGCTGCCCGCCGCGTCCTCGGTCATTTCAGCGACAGCTTGGCGGTTTTGCGTGGAAGCTGGCTGGAAAAAACGTGTGCAAAAAAATGAGTTCATCAACGCAACTGGTTTCGAGTATGCGGTCAATATGACACCGAAACCTGTACGGAACTGGTGGGCTGGTAAAAATGTGGTCGAACATCCACATGGCCATTCAACACACACACACACACACGCACACACGCATTCCCAGCTTGTACGGTTGCAAGCACATGTCCAGGAGACCCCAGTATAGAGTCCCCAACAGAATCGGAACCAAGCGCACCCGCCGAGTAAAGGCACCGCCCAGGTGCAAGGCAACCCATAAAAGGGGTTGACCGTTTTCAGGGGCGCAAGCAACAAGGGAAACAGGGTACCCTCCCACCAGCTAGCATGGAAGTGCACAGACCCCTGTAGAAAGACTACTTCCTCTTGGAAAGGGCCTTTTTGCTAGGAGGGTAATGTTGTAACAAAGCTCCCCAATAATTCATAAGGGTCCCCCCTCGAAGAAAAGGAAGAAAGGATGCCCCACTTAAAAGGGACCCCTTCAAAAACTGGGGGGTGATACATCAGGGGTCAACCAACTGCAAAACTGGGGGTCCCCTTTCATATAATTCCTTCCCTACCATGTCTCTAACCACAACTCCTCTTGTCGCTTCTTTCGTATACAAGTTGTGCTATTTCAAAGCATAGGTTACAACAAAGACAATGATAAATGGGGTCAAGCCAAGTCACAGAAATACATAACAAACGCTTTTAGAGAGATATTTCGCAAGAAACTAATAAAGTAGTGCCGCTCCCTCTTCAAAAGCAAATTTGAGAAACCCCCCCCAAGCTAAAGGGCAGCCACAAGTTGAGAACATATCACATTTTCCGGGGGGGTTCTGCAACATGACGCATAACCTCTTTCCAACAACCCTGGAATCCAAGAAATGGGTTTTGGAACATCCGAGCCGCTTGTCTGTTGCAAGGCGTTGCTCGTCCTCCAGGACTTGGAAGAACAAGTCGTCGAAGCCTGAGCTGTCAGCGCCCAAGACCCCAGCTGACTTTCTGTTTTAAGATGGTAGCGGATGGTGTGGGCCTTACCATAACACCTATTCTAATCCAGTAGTGAGGCTAGAATAAGGGTACCCTTTTGTCTGTAGTCTATTTTAGGGAACCCTCCCCAAAGAAAGAAACGGTAAAAGGGCACTACTGGCCAACCTGACAGTAAATCAGGTAGTAGTACCTGCTATTAATTCTACTGGCCGATGGGGGCTTGGGGCGCCGCTGCGCTGCAGTGGACCTCCCAGACTCACACTCGGGGGTTGGTTTGACGTAGCCCATGGTGTGGTCAAGCGAGTAAACTTAGTTCCTGCTTTGGGTGGTCTTAAATGGGAACCAAGAGGAAAACATAGGAAACCCATCATTTGTGTTGGGGGCTTTGCAGCCAAACCCTAAACCTCCTCGTTTCAGATTATGGAATTGTTCGGCCTGCAATTGATCGTCAATTGCCCATGGCACTGCAGTTCGAGACCCCATCAGCCGAGGATAAGCCCAGAATAAGCCCCCTCAGATAGAGCTGGCCGGAGACTTGCTAAGGACAAGATAGACCTTTTTGGACCCGAACACGGGGTTACGAATACAAACAAGCAAACAAACCCTTCACCCACGCACAAAACCTTCGTGTGTCTGTGGCGAACATGTGTTTAACACTTATTGAAGCTGCTTTGCATGAACAACTGGAAGTGGTCCTTTCAGATACGGAGGTAACTGGATAAAGTATCATCCACCCAAAATCCGAAAGCAGGTTTTGCCGGTGACAGCCTATGCCAAACTCGGACTCTGCAAAAAAGTGCCCCTGTCTTTTGAGGAAATAGGTTTGTGTTCATAAGGGTGTCCTGAGGGATTGCCACAAGAGGTCTTTTGCCTCCGACCGGTGCCTTTTAGAGGGGTTGAAGTACGGCTACGGATGTTGCCGGAGGCAAGTTGTGAGTCTCTGGGCGAATGGATTTTTCACTTCACCCAAATCCGCTCCAGGATCCCCAAACCAAACCTTTGGGAGACGCCACGCATCACGAGCTCACAATCATTCGCCGAGAATGCTTGGTTCAGCCGCAATGTGTAAAATTAGGTCGCATAATTAGGGCATTCATCATCCAGCACCCCAAGCAGTTCTAGGTCCTCCACTAGAGAGGTTAGAATAAGGGTACCCTTTTTGCTGTTGTAGTCTATTTTAGTAGGGTTCCCCTCCCCCAAAAAAGAAAGGGTAAAAGGGCACCTAGCTGGGGCAGGGACCCTAGTTGAAAAAACAATAATCCAGGGAGCGGTGTGACCAGCTCTCACAGAGCAGGTCCATCCTCTCCGAGTCCAAGCTTTTCACCAACTCCTCCACTAGCCTCGGTCGAGTCAATCTCTTGGTTGCTGCAACGACCCCCCTGCAAAAAGAATAACTTTTTGAGGGTTTAGTGGAAAACACCTTTATTTCCCAAAAAGTCAAAGTCTAAAGATCCCACCCAATAGCAGTCAAGATCTGGACCCATTTCAGCAAGACATCCTCAAAGTTACCCGTGAAAATGGTGGACTGTTTAACTAAAACCTCGCAGATGCGGGTGTTTCTCGCTTCGCAGCCGTGTTTCCATTGGCCGTGATTTTTCAGCGACCTTCGGATCCCTGCAAAATCCAATGCCAGCAGAAGATGTTGAGCCCGTTCTCGGAACTGCAGATGATGACGTGCCAGAATTGGCTTCTCAGGGTTTCCCAAATCCAACAGGGGAAAACTGTCATCTCTACTCTTAGTATGGTAGCAAAAACTGTGTTTTTTGCAGACCCCCAGTAAAAATGAACAGAACCAAAAAACTAACAAACCACAAAACATGCCAAGAACAGGGAAAAACTGGGTCCTGTCCTGTCAAGTGGCAGGATGTATTTCTGGCGCACTTCCTTCCTAACCGTCTGGATGAAGATGTGCATCGTAACTTGACCTGGGCTGTACTAACATTGGGGGCCCACATATGATTGGTTTCCCTGTCACTCAGTAGCAAAAAACGGGGCGCCCCCCCAAAAAAAACAACAAAATCTGGCTAAAAAACAAGAACCAGCGCCAGCGTGGCCGACCACCAGGCTCACAGGAAAGTGGCGAACAAACCCTTCATGATTCAGGTCGGTGAATCGTTCAATCTCCATTCAGGGCACACCAGTTGCCTGAAGTTTCTGAAGAACAGCCTGTCTCACTGACATACAGGCGCACACGGGCGCATGCGGTTGGAAAATTGCAGCAATTCGAACAAAAGGTCTGGATGCATTTGCCCTTCAAAAACGAGGGACTCTCTTAGCGTCGGAAACCTTACGCGGCTTACTGCGGCTTAAGCGAGGCTATTGACTCGAACAGGGCATCAGGGTTCCTCAGAAGGTTCGTTGGGGCGATCCAAATAACCATCACTTCGCCGGCTGGGGGCCTACGAGGTTCAGCCTGTGAAGCCGAAAGAAAAAGCAGAAGCCAATGAATTGGAAAACCAAGAGATCAAAGTTGGCCGTTCGGACTTCCCGTCAAATCAAAAAAAATCCGAGGCATCGGAGAACGAACCACGCGGAGGATCCGACGCGATCCGAGGATCCGCTGGCGAACAGGAACGGATCCCAATGCGAACAGCTGAGCATCAAACACTTGGGGCTTGGCCTCGCAATGCCTCGCATTTTTCCGAGGCATCTCCGTTAGGGGATCACCGAAACGCCTTGGTGAATTGCAGGGAGCGAGTCACATGTTAAAATCGCCTTCCCAAAACCATGAACCGGAAGATGGGGGTGGATTGGCCAAAAAGAGTCTAAACTGTTGCTTGCCACTAAAAATGGTCCAACCCAAGAAAGTGTAAAGTCCGAAACGGAACCCAGGGAGTAAGTAATAACTCATAAGTTATCCTTAACTAACCTACCCGAGCTTTCGGGCACTGAACCCATTCCCGAATCCCGAGGTGCCATTAAAGGGATCCTCCAAGCGGACGCCAATCTCCTGCCGGATTCACAAACCGACGCAATCCCCAGATTCCTGCAGAAACATGTCGGCAGGTTCCCTCCTTTAAAATCTTTTACACAGAAGCAGAGACAAAAAACAAAAAACAAAAAAACTGAAACCACCCGAATTTTCCGCGGGGGGGGGGGGGGAGGGATCGGGATCCCTCTTTTACAATCTCGGGGGAGACTTCCAACAGAAAAAAAAAATAAAATATCCGAAGTCGAAATTCCACTTCCACCAAAAAGCAGCACTCCAAAGTGGGTCCAAAGGGTTTCCTCGGAGGCCTTTCGCTTCTCGATCGCCGGCCGAACCGGAAGCGAAAATTTCGCCCGGCCGAAGGCCCTGAGTCCTGGATGGCGAACAAGCACCACGAGGCCACGAGCTCCTGCGGCGGAAGGGTCACGGGCTTCGCTGTTTTAGTTTGTCTAATTATGTGTTTTGTTGTTATTATTAAAAATTATTATGATGAGTATTATTTGATATGTCAATATATAGATATATATGTTTATTTATTTATTTATTGTGTTCCAACCATTTTTTAAGTACATTACCAGCGTTGTCGTATTCTAAATGAATGCTGTTTAGTCTTGCATTCCAATCGCCAACTAGCACAATATGATGTGAATTTTCACAGGCTCATAAAGCCGCGAAATGGGAGCCACTGGGTGTATATATATATATATTAATTAAAAAGCAAAAAACTGGAGTCTCCTTCTGACCCTTGAAAATGGGTCAATGACCCCATTATCTTTGGTAATGACCCACCTTTTTTTAAGGGTCATGGAGACTCCAGGTATATGCAGCATGTATCAATTCTGCATGTCCTGGCATGTCCTGGCTGATTCTACATCCCTGAAAAGAAGGGGGTTGGTGTTCGCAAGCATACTTCTGGGCTCAGTCGCTTGCGTGGGACCTGCCAAATTCAACATAGACCACCGGATTCTGCATTTTTTTACCATGGTTCCAAAACCTGAAAAAAGAATCAGATCCCAAGGTAAAGGATATTTAAAATGGTGAGTTTGTTCGACCCCCGAACCGGTGAGCTCGCCACAAAATCATGCTTACAGTCATCCTGCAGTCCTGGCCATGTCCACATAGCCATGGATCAAAATCCAAATCGCACCCCCAGTGAACATCCCAATCCCCACTAAAATAGACTAAATGTGTGGCGCACCTACCCCAACATGGTACCATTGCTTTTGACTCGCACCCACAGACAAGACAGAAGCGTTTTTCATAGGCCCGCTTCAGACTTTGACAGGTTTGTCTTGAAGCTCAGTCCGCAGGGACCGAAGAGAGGAACCTGTTGGGGCCCGGACTAGATCGACAAATCAGGGGAATCTACGCTTTGAGCACCGAAGGAAGGAGTCACGGCTTTAAATCAAGTCTTCATTTCAAGGTATGTATTTTGGAGGTCTGGACGCTTATCTTCCATTTGATTAAGCCCCGTGTAAAAACATATTTGCAGTAGTGATAAGTTCCCTTGAAAACTAACAAGGGCAAATACAAACATGTTCTCAAGCAAATGGATGCTAATATTCCACCAGCGTGACGTTGTAACGCTGGAAGGAAAAACAAAACCTAAGCCGGATGACTCCTCCATAGCTCCAGAACCTCTCCGTGTGAGACCTTCATAGCTCCAGAACCCATCCCTTCAGAAAGGCACTTTTAAACTAGGCTGGAAAAATCGGACCCCAGCAAACAAATATTCTTTGCCTGGCTAGTGAAAAACCAACAAACCCCCCCCCAAAAAAAAAAAAGGAGCTAGTTCTGGGGAAGCTCAGAGCCCCGGGCTTTTCGGTGCGGAGTTCTTGGCACTGGGCAGCCAAGTCGCAATGGCCACCGTGAGCCAGCCGCTCTGTGAGGCCAGTGACAGAGGCAGACTCAGCAGCCAAACCGCCAGGAACCGCCCCGTGTGCCGCACCTGCGAGATGCGAAACGAGCAAAAAAAACAAAAACGTGGCTTTGGCGGGGATTTCTGGCTTGAGGAGCAAAACGTGTTTTTTTGTTTTTTTTAATGTAGGCTCGATTCCCCCTGCCGGCTTTTTTGCTGGCTTGGGCTTCCTGCATCCTTTTGCGGAAAATCTGGAAAAACTCAATGTGTTTGGACGTCCTCTTTGCGAAAACGCTGGAAAAACCGTGTTTTTTTTGCAGGAAATACATACACACAGGCACGAATGCATGCATGCATGCATACATACATACATTTCATACATACATTACATACATACATACATACATACATACATACATGCATGCATACATACATACATGCATACATGCATTACATACATACCTACGTACCTACCTACCTACCTACATACATACATACATACATACATACATACATTACATACATACATACATTACATACATACATACATTACATTACATTACATTCCATTACATTACACTACACTACACTACATTACATTACATTACATACATACGTACATACATACATGCGTACATACATTACATTACATGACATGACATGACATGACATGACATGACATGACATGACATACATACATTACATTACATTACATTACATTACATTACATTACATTACATTACATACATACATACATACATACATACATACATACATACATACATACATACATACATACATACATACATACATACATACATACATACATACATACATACATACATACATACATACATACATACATACATACATACATACATACATACATACATACATACATACATACATACATACATACATACATACATACATACATACATACATACATACATACATACATTACATACATACATACATACATACATACATACATACATACATACATACATACATACATACATACATACATACATACATACATACATACATACATACATACATACATATACATACATACATACATACATACATACATACATACATACATACATACATACATACATACATACATACATACATACATACATACATACATTACATACATACATACATACATACATACATACATACATACATACATACATACATACATACATACATACATACATACATACATACATACATACATACATACATACATACATACATACATACATACATACATACATACATACATACATACATACATACATACATACATACATTACATACATACATACATACATACATACATACATTACATTACATTACATTACATTACATTACATTACATTACATTACATTACATACATACATACATACATACATACATACATACATACATACATACATACATACATTACATACATACATACATACATACATACATACATACATTACATACATACATACATACATACATACATACATACATTACATACATACATACATACATACATACATACATACATACATACATACATACATACATACATACATACATACATACATACATACATACATACATACATACATACATACATACATACATACATACATACATACATACATACATACATACATACATACATACATACATTACATACATACATACATACATACATACATACATACATACATACATACATACATACATACATGCATACATACATACTTATGTACATGCATGCATACATACGAGAGAGGGAGATTGGGGAGAGAGAGGCTTGGGGGGATGGGGAGGATGGGAGCAGAGGGAGGGAGAGAGGACGACAGAACACACAAGGGTGACAAGGAAGAGAGGAAGAAGGAGAAAAGGGAGAGGACAATGTCGGCGGACTGAGCCGGAGGCTCTAAAGTAAAGAGAACCAAAAAACTAAAAAGCAAAAACACATGCCAAGAACAGTGTGAAGAAATCAAAAAAGGTGACTCTCAAAGATACGTTGTTTTGACAACAAGCTGTGCCATCTACTTCACCCGGCTGACATAGGATTGGGCTGCCCTTGACTTTGGCGAGGGATATTCACCCTCCTTTCCAAGGCTCATAAAGGGGTGCAGGATCAAAAAATAATTATTTACGGGATCAAAAAGAAATTATCGACACCCGGATCAAAAACAAATTATTTACAGGATCAAAAACACATTATCTCGCCTGGGGGTGCCAAAGCGCTGTAATTTACATCATTTTCGGGCAACAGCGCGCGCATTTTACGGCTCCAGCTGTAAAATAGACACTTTCCAATACAAGCGCAGTACGCGAAGGTCACTTTGGCAGCTCCAGTTCGAAAATCACAACTTTTCAGATACAAGCGCAGTTCTATCAACGAATCTAGCATCGGTTAAATGCCTGTAGGGTTAATGTAGGTTGGGTTTCGGGTGGGTTTGGGGTGGGTTCAGGCTTGGTTTAGGGACGGTTTAGGGTTGGTTTAGGCTGGGTTTAGGGTTGGCTTAAGGTTGTGTAGGGTTGGTTTCAAGGTGGGTTTGGGGTTGGCTTAGCTTGGTTTAGGGTTGGTTTAGGGTTGGTTTAGGTTGGGTTTAGGGTGGTTCTAGGTTGGCTTCGGGTAGGTTTAGGGTGGGTTTAGGGTTGGTTTGCGGGTTTAGGGTGGGTTTAGGGTTGGTTTAGGGTTTAGGGTTTAGGGTCGGTTGAAGGTCAGTAGTTTAGGGTGGGTTTAGGGTTGGATGAGGTTTGGTTAGGGTTGCTTTAGGGTTGGTTTAGGGATGGTTCAGGCTGGGCTAAGGCTTGGTTTAGGGTGGGTTTAGGTTTGGTTTGGGGCTTGAAAGTTGTTTAGGGTTTTTAGATATAATTTAGGGTTGGTTTCGGGCAGGTTTAGGGCGGGTTTAGGGTTGGCTTAGGTTGGTTTTGGGTCTGTTTAGTGTAGTTTTCGGGTGGGCTTAGGCTGGGTTTAGTGCCGGTGTACGTGGCTTAGGGTTGGTTTAGGGTTGGGTTAAGGGATGGTTTAGGCTAAGTTTACGGTGGTTTGGGGTAAGTGTAGGGTAGGGTTAGGGCAGGTTTAGGGTTGGTTTAGGGTTGGTTTAGGCTGGGTTTAGGGTTGGCTTAAGGTTGTGTAGGGTTGGTTTCAAGGTTGGTTTAGGGTTAATTTTGGTTGGGTTTCGGGCGGGTTTGGGGTTTCGGGTGGGCTTGGGGTTGGTTTAGGATTGGTTTAGGGTGGGTTTAGGTTTAGTTTAGGGTCTGTTTAGGGTGGGTTTAGGGTGGGTTTAGGGAGGGTTTTGGGTTTGTTTGCGGTGGGTGGATTTTGGTTGGTTTAGGGTAGGTTTAGGTTGGGTTTCGGGTTGTTTTAGGTTGGCTGAGGGTAGGTTTAGGGTAGGTTTAGGGTGGGTTTAGGATTGGTTTAGGGTTGGTTTAGGGCGGGTGTAGGGTTGGTTTAAAAGTTGCGCAGGGTCGGTTTCAAGGTTGGTTTGTAGGTTGGTTTTGGGTTGGTTTAGGGTGGGTGTAGTTTGGTTTAGGGTCGGTTTCGGGTAGGAGAGCAGGCCAGGAGACCAGCAGACCAGGAGACCAAGAGACCAAGAGACCAGGAGACCAGGAGACCAAGGACCAGGAGACAAGACACAGGAGACCAAGGACCAGGAGACCAGGAGACCAGGAGAGCAGGGGACCGGCAGACCAGCAAAAAGCAGGAGAAGGAAATCAGCAGACCAGGAGACCAGGAGACCAGGAGACCAGGAGACCAGGCGACCAGGAGACACGGGGACCAGGACACCAGAAGACCAGGGACCAGGACCAGCACGACACATGGGGACCAGGAGACCAAGGACCAGGAGACCAGGAGACCAGGAGAGCAGGGGACCGGAGACTAGGTCTCAATAATTTGTTTTTGATCCCCTAAATAATTTTTTTTTGATCCCCAAAATAATTATTTTTTGATGCTCATCCCCTCATAAAGGTCCTAACTGGGAACCACAGGGTTTGCAAGCACAAAAAGTTGATTTAAAAGGAAAAAAGGTGGCCAGTCGAAAGGAGCAACCACAAAAGCGCACCGGCCCAACACGAGCCTGTGTATTGCCATGTCCGGTGGGTCCGAGGGTTACAGGCATTTTGGAGAGAGATACCCACCTTGCGGGCTGCCGTTCCCAGTCGTGAGAATGGCCAAATCCTGCACCAGTTGCTAGGCGGTTTATCTGATTAGTTGTATTTGTTTAATTCAGCCAGTGCGAAGTGGATTTGGTCGATCCACAGTTTGGGTACCGTAGATTGCTCTTACCTCGACTGAGTGTGAGGGACAAGCTTTCACAGGGCTCAGTGGATGTCCCCTGTGAAAGGCTGCAATTGAGTGGTGGGGTTCCCATGAAACTGCCCCTTTTGTAGGTCCAAAGAAGGGAACTTGACCGACCCCCCGTTTCAGCTTCTATGTCCTCCAGTAGAGAGGTTAGAATAAGGGTACCCGATTTGTTTGTCTAGTCTATTCTAGTAGGAGAACCCTCCCCCAAAACACAAGTTGGTAAAAGGGCACCTAGCCGGGGGACCTAGGCAACGGATGGGATTAGTGCGGGCGAAGGCTCGTAACTTTGAGGCACCGGCGTCTGCACGATGCTCTCACAAGGGCTCACCAGATCCGACAGCTGCTCCACATATTTCAGGAGCAGTGTCCTCTCCTGACACTTGAAACATAGGTGGCCTTTTGGAAAAATAGTTGGCCCTGGTAAATGCAATAAAACCTATCTAAACCGTGCCATCTATCTTTTACTAGGCTCACTTAAAAAGGGCACCTACATGCACCTGAGACTTGGCAAGCCCCGGAAATGAGACGGTTGGGTTCCATGCGAAGTACATGGCACAAGCCCCTGGTTCGGGACGGGCCAAGCGGAGCCCCCAAACCCCCAGAGGTGTTGGGCGAAAAAGCGGGCACTTTGATTGATAGATGTTATCACTTTCGGATTGAATTGGATAAGAACAAATAAGAAATTGTTATATACCAACACGGTCTTCCCGGAAACATTTATATTTTAACATGGTCTAACCCAACAAGCATACAAAGTACAGGAACTCAGGTAGAAAGTGATTTTAAAGGAGTCCCCCCCCCACAAAACGAAGTCTGGGAAGCCCTTTTACAAAGTACCGGCCAGGCATCTGACGACTCCAATTGCTTCAGGGCCATGATCTGCGCCTGGATCTTATCCTGCCGCCCCAACCTTGTCCCCGTGCTTTTTCTTTTTCTGGCGTGAGATCGGCTTTCATTTTTGGCAAAGCGGCGAATCGGAACTGTGAATCAGGCAAACTGGGAACAGCTCCCACGATCATTGCCCGAACGCCTAGGTACATCCAATCCCACCTTTTTTTCTTCCTTTTTTTTGCGGGAGGGAGCCTCAAAGGATAAAACACTTCAGGGCTCACTGGATTCCCCCTTCAACAGTTGCAATTTGCTTGTGGGTAACCCAGCAACCTTGCCTTTCGGAGGTCCAAAAAAGGGAAACTGGGGGACCCCACGTCCAGCCGCAAAGCCGCCCTGTACCAGGGCTCTCTACATTTCCCCTTTGAGCATCACCCCACCAAAAGGAAGAAGGAGGCTCCTTCAACATTGACCCCAAAGTGATGTCTACAACCACCAAGACCACAGCAGTCCACTCTTTCCGCTTCTCCCTTTTGGTGGGTACCTTCCAACCCAAAAAAAAACACACAAAAACAAAAACAAAACGAAGAAAAACACGTGCCCGAATACCCATGGGGCCCTTTTTGGGTGGCCCCCCCATCCAACCCCTCGAGCCCGACGAGCCGGAACCCGTCGAACCGGTCGAACGGCTCGGGTTGGTCCAGCAGGGCCATGGGCTTCGAGACGTCGTCCCGGCAGATCTCTAAGAGCTTGGTGCGGCGATTCTCCAGGTGCTCCCGCAAAACCTTTCTGACAAAAGAAAAGAAAACGAAAAAGCGAGAGGCCACCGGAGCGAACAGGTGCGAGCAAAAGCGTTTTTTTTGGCTTTCTGAAAAAGAAAGACCTGGAGTCAAAACAGCCCGCTTCCGTTGGAGTCAAAACTCGAGGGGACGCTTCCTGAGTGGAGGGATTGGTCCAGGAACTCATGTAAGGGGATTGCACCCTTGAAGCTCCCGGAAGACCTTTTGGTTTCGGTTTCTTTGCCTTCAAGCCACCCCCGAAAAAGAAAAAGAAGAAGAGCACGACAACAAGAGGCGCGCCCTGGAGGGTCCCTGGAAAGCAGTTCTTTCCAGGAGCCGTCCCCGTACGCCTGTTTTGTTTTTGTTGTTTCCAACTGAACCGGGCTGTTTTCACTCCAGGTCTTGCGGCCTTTGTTCGCTTTTGTATGGCTCCCCGCAAAACCTGAAAAAACAACTCTAGGGGGCGCTTCCATTTCCATTCTTTCCGATGCGAGTCTTTCCAGAAAACCCTCAGAGGCCCAGGGGAAGCAGCTGGTCTTTGAAAAGAACGATGGGTGAAAGTCATGGGGAATCAACCCCTGGAAAAACCGAACTCGGAGCGCGGCCGGAGCTTGAAAAGGGACCAGCACTTAGTTGTCTTGTTAACGTTGTTCTTTTGGTTGTGTTTGTTTTTTGCTTTTTGTTTTGGGGGGGGGACCTCAAAAACAAAAAACGGACCGCCGGAGCAAAAAGGGAAAAGCACGTTGTTTACTTTAGTTTTGCTGTTTCTTGTTCTTTTCTTTCGGGGGGGGGGGGGGGCAGGTGCAAACTGAGAAAATGAGCGCGCCGAGCTGCAAAAAGGGGAAACGTATTTTTGTTTTTGTGGCTGGCTGAGGCCCAACCACTGCTTTTTGGACAGTACTTGGGATGTTGGACACGGGAAAAAACAGACATTTTTACGGGGTGCTCGAATTGGGTGTGGCTCGGGTTACGCAGATTTTAGTCCACTTTTCCATTTTGGGCTCCTATTTTGGATCCACCTGGAGTCTCCATGACCCTGAAAAAATGGGACCCTTGCCCAAGATAATGGGGTCATTGACCCATTTGTAATGGGTCACGGAGACTCCAGGCACACACTTACCTGGAATTCCTACCCAACCCGAGGGAAGCGATCTGCCTCGGGAAAGAGCTGGAGATCGTTGGCCAGGCTCAGCTGGGCGTCCTCGGCTTTCGAAGCGAAGCCACCGACGAGAGCCTTGCCCTGCTAGGTCCTCCAGTAGAGAGGTTCGAATAAGGGTACCAACTTTCTTTTCTGTAGCCTAAAGGGCACTACTGAGGAACCGGCGGAGTTTCTTGCTATTCCCGTCCCCCAACAGGGCCCTAACACCCCGATTGTTTGTGGGACCTCAGCATGGGTGGTGCTTGACTGCCCGGGCGTCTGCATTGGAGGGGTCACGACCCTTATAGTTCGCAGAGAAAAAAAAAGACGCCACCCCGAAAGAAAACTCGCAAGTGGGCAATCCGAAAGGTGATGTGTAGAACTATAGGGGACATACACAGGGAACTCTGTGTTGGCGGGTTTTGGAATTCTGGAGTTCCTGAAGGATTGCAAAACCTCAAGAGGAACTAGGGGTTCAGCTGTTGCCACATGACACTCTCTTCACCTTGGTACCGGAAACCAAGAGGAGAACCGCCATTTTGACTGGGCTCAAAGTGGGGGACGCCACTTTGCGGAGGGAAGCCACTTGGGGGACGCCACTAAGGGGGGAAGCCACTAATTGCTTTTGAACAGGCCATTTTTTTGAGGGGACTTGTGAACCTTGGTGGCTTTCGGCTACCAAAAAAAAACGCCGAGGAGGCGCGCAGGGGATTTTCTCGGGCGCTTGGTAGAACATGGCCCTGGAGAGGCTTCTGCAGACCGAGGAGAGTTTGCTCCAGAGGTCCACCTTGGTTCCGGGCAGGAGCTTTGCCCAGCTTGGACCCTGACAAAGCTGTTGGTGCCACGCCTAAAAATGGAACAAACACAGGAAACCCAAAATCGGCTTTGGGCAAGCGGGCAAGAGGTTGACTGTTTTGGGGGGGAGGGGGGTTGAAGAAAGGGAAGTGCTAGGCATGACAAGTCGACCTACAGTGGCTGGCGCATGGGGCCCAGGCATGAACAAAGGACATGCTGTTTGTCTCCGGCTCTCTGGGTGGGCTAAAGGGGCGGGCATGGAAAGTCAACGCGCGCATGTGCGCGCGCGCGTGTGTGTCTTGAAGCGGGCCCAAAAGTTTGGCTTCCTGCGACTCGCTCTCCAGGCGGCGAAGGTGGGTTACCTCAACAAGAGGCCACAGCCACCAGCAACCAATGGCTGCCAAATGGCCCCAAAGCAGCCGGGGGAGGCCACTTAGCAAACCACTGCTATTCAGAACCATTGCACCTCCATTTCCTTTGTTTGCTTTTTCTTTGGGGGAGGGGGTGGGGAGGGGAGGGGAGTTGTAAGTGGATTCGCCAAAGAAGTAATCAAGTAGTTCATGTTTGCAAAAAGCTTAAAGTGCAGGCAATCTGGTGACCCCGGATGAACCAACCCCGGTTCATTCATATGGGGGTGTTCCTCTCCAGTCCTCTGAAACAATGGGCAACCCCAATATAAATATGATTAAATTGAGGTTGACTAATCCGGGGTTCCCATTAACACTCGACAGGGGATTCCATTCAGAGTGGGGAAGCCGACATAGGTGTCCTTGGTCTAGGCTGGAATGGCAGACATTGCTGCGCCCCCAGTTAACCAGTCGGGAAGTGTATATAGCTGATAAAACGAGGAGACACGGGCACTGCCAAAAGACTTCAATCACTCGGTCTGGATGTGGCAAAAAAATCTGGATCAGGCAATTGCGCAGCATCAAAACCGCAACTCATCTGAGCGGATTTTCAGCTGACCATGGTTTAGCATTAACCCGCGCCCGGGAAATTGAGAGACTTCATATATTATTAAATGATCCCCGCACACAAACCATAGGCTTCAAACCCTTTTGGAAAGGGGGGGGGGGGGGGCGGGGGCAGGCTTGAACAGGGCTCACTGGATTTCCCCTTCAAGAGTTGCACTGACCCGGCGGGTCCCATTGAGAACTGCCAATGTTCTAAGGTCCAACAAATGGACCTTGAGAACCCCCGCTTTCAACACCTCACGCGGTTGAAAGCCGGGCGCCGCAATGTTGAAGCGAGTGATGGACTGCTGAGTGCGGAAGGTCAACAAAAGACCCAGCGGCGTCACCAGAAATTGGTTCAGCCTGGGCAGGCAAGGCCCTTTTTGCCCGAGAAATGCCGTATAATGCCGTTAACGAGAACTCAGGGGTCACTGGGTTACCTTTGCTGGTTTCCATTGAAGCCGAAATGGCCACTTTCTGAGGTCCAAAAGGTTCTGGATATCTCCCACCATGGAACGGTGCAACATGCTCCCCGAAAGCAGTTTTCTAGGGATGGCTGTTGGGATTCCATTGGGAAGTATGACTGGCTGCTCCAACCTTGTGGCTGAACATGTTTGAACCCTTTGGACCCCCCAACAAAATGTAGTCTCCCCGCGCTTCCCTGAATTAAAAAATAGTGCTTCCGGTTACCTGTATAGCTGTAACCAGCTTGGTCACCTAGTGTATTGGAATCTGGCAGGTTCCCAGAACCACACAAAAGGCTGCGCAATAGAGGGCGGAGTCCCGAAACCGAGTGCCAGAACCGTGAAACAGATGGGTGGAACCGTGAATTGGGAGGCGGGATTCCTTGAAACACGTGAGATTAGCTTGGCTCCTTCCTTTGGGGAACCGAGCTTGGTTCCTGAAAAAATGATAGCCATGGGCCGGTTGCCTGCTAATACAGGTTGCCAGGAAGCGCTGGGTATGCTTTGGATGAGTAACAAGAATTTGTTTGAGGAAAATAGGGTTCCCCAATTGTTCACATCAAACATGACTCCACCCAGAAACACTCAGAGAACATCTGCCCAATGCTTAAACCACCCAAAAAGGAACATGTTGTCAAACCCCTCGGAATGACGGACCAACTGGGTCGGGCAGTCGGAGATTCATCTTACCCCCGGTTGGTGGTTCGGTGACGTTCCGGCAGTGTCCTGTCCCATTCTTAAGGAACTGGGGTTGAAATTTATTGCAATGCTACACCCTTCAGATTTGGATCCCGAAAAAAGGAATTGGATCCCCAAAAGCATTGAATCCCCCCGTCCTATTCTATAACAATAAGACATTGAATCCCAAGCCCCACACAAAATCGTCTCAACAGGTCCGTCCCCCACTTCGGTGGAGGCTGTTGAGCGAAAACTGAATCAACAAACAACAGCTTCCGAAAGCTTCTCAGTTGCCCAAAGGACCTGCAACTAAAAGGCTAACCTTTTGGGGCCATGACTAAATATGGACCAAAACGGAAAAACCCAAAGGTCAAAAGGTCGGCTTTGAACAACTGAGGCTTGCAAAGGACCGTCTCGGGCCAATTCTCAACAAGGACAAGGAGAGCTCGTCAGATCACCATGTTCAACCCCCTAGCTTCGGACTTGGCAATTGGCACAGAAATCTTGTCTGCTACTGTTCATGCTGCTGTTTACTGTTCATGCTGCTGTTTACTGTTCATGCTGCTGTTTGTTTTTTCGTTCAAATGCCCGGGCTCATTCGCAATCACTTAGTCGACATTCCACCCAAAATTGACAGAGTTTCTGCCAGCATCAATTTCGTGAAGGGAACGAAAATAATACTCTCTATATATAAATATGTAGCAAATAGGGAAGGAGACAGCTTCTGATTGAATTGATCATGATTGAAGGGGTTCTGATTGATGAGGGTGTCTCCCAATGACACTTCACAGGCAAAGGCGCAAAAGGGCCAAGCAAGGCGAACTGCATGGTGCCACTGAACAACTTGGCAAATGATGGGCTCACAAATGCCAGAAACGAAAACCACACGATCACCCGAAGAATGGCTCAAAAAACGCAAACAGGCTTGTCTCAAAATAGAGGACCCCAAAATCGCCGGTTGTTCTGTTTGGTCGCTCGAATCAGGAGGTCCCCCCGTTACCAAAGGAGGTCCCCAACACAAAAATCAAACCAGAAGGTCCCTCGCCCCCCCTCGAAAACCCCCAACAAATAAAACGAACAATTGCCCCCTGCCCCCCTGCCCCCCTACCCTCCCAAAAACAAAAAACAATAGACTAAAAAAAAACACTACAAAGAACAAACAACACAAACGCCAATAACTCGCACCCTCCACCCTCCGGGCCCCTTCAACGGTGCGCGCCTCCAAGCGCCCTCCGCCAGCTGATAGCGCGTGGCGACCACCGCGCAGATCGCTGCCCAAGCGGTGCCTCGGGAAAACCCGACGGAGCCGACTGACGGCGACCGAAAAACTCAGATGTCAAGTGGCCATGCAACAAATATGCGACAAAACGACATACTAGGTCCTCCAATCGAGAGGTTAGAATAAGGGCATCCTTCTTTTGGTTGCTTGATTTTAAAGGGAAACCCTATATGAAACCCTTCCCAAAAAAGGGCAAACAGGGCGCCACTGGGCAACTGGCTTTATACCGGAAGAAGAAAAAAAAACGCGCCGCTGGCAGCATCTTGGTTGACGTTGGCAGGGGAGCAAAAAGTTAAATGTTAGCAGTTCAGTGAGGATTTCAACCACTAAACCACAATAAGCAAAAATGTACTGTAACATGTTTCCCAACCACAACCGTGACATCCCCCCCAGAGGGAGCGGGAAGATGGGGGGATTCCCTTCGCGCTATTTCCCACATAAAGCTTAGTCAAGGTGCATCAAACGGGGGAATCCGCCCGTATCCCTGGTTCGCCCTGTATCCCTGCTAGTTGGCTTTCTCTGACTCATACAAAGGAGAAAAAAAAGGAAAAAAACAAAACAAAACAAAAAACGCGCGCCGGCAACATCGCCCTGGGGACACTTTCCGGCGAGAGGCTGCAAGGAACCTGGAGGCTCCATGGGAAAAAACTGCAGCGTATGTCAAAGGGCCTCCCCTCAACACACAACATGCATAGGTGTACGTTTAGGGGAAATAGATGCGGGGAAATAGATGCCCCTGGTAGTGATTAAAACACCAAGTAAACCAGCGCCATCCATTTTTCAACCAAAACAACCAAAAAGGACACCTATGACAATATGTTGAGAAAACCTGCGCTTGCCATTCTAAAATGGCCTTCCCAGACCCAAAGAGTGAAAAACATGTCAGCATGAACTCAGGAAAAGTGAGACTTAGCTTCGCATCCACAAACGCGAAGCGAACCTCATGGGGGCATGATTGAGTTCTGGCTTGGACCACTTTCCTCCAAAAAGAAAACCCCCGGGTGGGCTCATCCAACTTCCATTCGCTTTTTCGCCCCGTGAAAAAATGAGAAAACATATATCCAAACCAACTGGGGAGGGTACCTTCTTTCGAATCTGACGGGTTTTGTAAGACCGCTTTTCCTTGGGGGAAGCCAACCGCCATCGTCGGACATCAGAAGCAAAGCAAAGGGGAAAAGGATGTCGCCAAAAACTCGGGATCAAATAACTATGTCCAAACTTTGTGGCACCTTTGTGGGTTAACTAAGCTAACCGAAGGGCAACCAGCCGTCTTGGTCGGGGCACCCCTATTTTGGAGAAAACGCCACATGTGGGGGTTGATCAAAGGGTCCTTTACACAAGATAGCCATTGAGAAAGCCACGAAAAAAAGAGCATATGTCCGAGAAGTTAAATGACCCATGGTCATTCGGGGGCCGAACGGAATATATTGGTCAACCCCCATGCTTTAGCATCCGAGTGAACCGATCCGGGATTGCATTCCAAAGCGCAAATCCCCACCGGCACTGCCACCTGCTGCAGGGTCCGGCTGCGGTACACCTCGTGTTTGTCGGTTCTTTGGAGGCTCGGGTTCGCTAGGGAAACCAAAAGGAGAACCACCACTTCGCTGGTTCCCCATATTTCCCCATGTGCGCGGGGGGGGGGGGGGGGGTTTGTCAACAAAAATTGGCCCCCAACCCGGGTGCCCCTTTTAAATGCTTTTGACAACCCCCCCATGGGGACTTAGAATCTCACCAACATGTTTGAGCCCCTAAACATGGTTCCAAAGAACTATGCTTACAAGGTTAGGTCAAAACGAAAACATAACGTGCCTACACACCGGTTTCATGGTGAATAGTGAGGACTGTTTTAAACACGAAGGGACTCACAAAACTCCCATCTCCCGGTCCCCGTGGGAGGCCTGCTGCTTGAATTGTTGCGACAGCTGCGGTATATCATGTAGCGTAAGGATAAACCAATTGCACAATTTGCTGCTTCGGTTTAATTTAAGGCGCCCTTCGCTTGCCAAGTTGGAGACATCAAGCGAACGCCACCACAAATGGATGTGACTTTTGTTCCCTGCCATGAAACATTCCCCCCCCCTCCCCCATTTTCCCTCCCAAACAGAAAGTTCACAAACCCCTACATTCCTTCCGCAAAGAGCCCAGTGCACTTCCATCTTAGGAGGTGGCAGTAACCCATGTCCTCACAGAACTCCTGGCAGCTCAATAGCTCCCTGGAGGCAAATCTTGATACCAGCGCCTTGGCTCCCTTCCAACCACGAGCTAGGTTATGATCTCCCAAATGTCTGGGAAAGCCGCGCGTCGTGCGGGCCGAGGCGCGCCGATCATCAGCTCGAAGATGTCTTCGCTGCGGAAACGCTCCTAGCGAACCCCGTGCAAACCCAAAGCGAGCAAAAATGATTGTCGACGGATTCATCAAGCCGTTTGTTTCTTGGCATTCTCTCATGGTCTGTGCTTCTTCTTTTCCCCAGGAATGGCTTAGGGCTTCCCCCCCCCAAAAAAAAAAGAAGAGAGAGCAACAAGTTAAATGCTGGACGAAACTCAAAGAACAACTCAGAAAGGGACCCCACTTTCTGCCCCGGGTTCAGCAAATTTTGCCCTTGAAACATCTCAAGAGGAAACAGAAGTCTTGCATTGGGCTTTCCACCCTCCCTTTGAGCTTGGAAGTTTGGTGAGAGGCCCTACTCGACCATTGATCTTGTGGTGGGTGGCCCCCCACGTAGGCCCCCAGCGGAACCCAATACGAGCCAAAGGCCAGATGGCCAATCTCTTTTCTGAGATGACTTGCACGACCCCCGAACCACGACCCCAAGGAGAAAACGAGGTATAGACTCCTTAAACAGTGGCTAGCTGCATATTGCAAGAAGGACCTCTGATGGATTGGGGGAAATCACCCTTACCTCATGGTTCCTCGATCACGGGGAGCCTTAAGTCAAAATCTAAGCCGACAAGGACTTGCCCAAAGCACCTGGACATGAAACAACCAACAGCTGGGGCCTTGACATTTCTGGACCAAAGGAAACACTTCCCAGAGCCGCTCAGATTCTGTCGACTCGCCATCTCGAGGCAACAAGAAAGTGTGGTGGATCCACCTAGATCCATCCTCAGGCAACGAGCCCAGGCGAAAACCCTTGACAAATTTATGGACCAAACCCGTTTAAAAAGAGAAAGAACAAAACAAAGAAAGAAAACACCAGAGAAAAACAAAAAACATCACGCAGATCCGGTGAACTCCGCTTGCCATTTTTGCCCCCTTCCGCTCCTGGAAGGGGATGGGCAGGTGCTGGCCGTCTCGCTTGAAGATCACCACGCCGTGCTTCAGCCCGAAGCGTTGGATCCCCAGCTCCCTACGGTTTCAAGCCGAGCGAAGGAGAAGCCCAGTGGATGGCACTTGCTCAAAACCGCTCCGGTGCCAAAATGGGGCGAAGTACCCGGAAAAAGCCGGGCCTCAGGAATTATAGGGCGGAGATCTCCGCGATTTATGGCAAGGGGATCCTCCTTAAGCTTCTACCCGAATCGGTGTTGAGTGTGGCTCAAGTGGATTTCACCGCTGCTCCTCAAGTTAGAGCGCCCTAAAATTGGCTTCCCCTTTTGGTCGCCCTTTGCATGCCAAAAGGCAACACCACCGTTCAAGGACTCTGTCCGATTAAATTTGACACACCAATTCAATTGTTCTTGAAGGTGCTGGGATATGAATTAGGGACTCCTGGCACATCATTTGGGAAGGCAAGCGCACGAGATTCCCCATAAAATAAAATAAAAACAAATCTACGGGGAAAAACAACAAAAATAAGCAACACAAACACAGTTTGAACTGGTGCGCTTTTCCAAAACACCTGGCTCTGAGGTTGAAGGAAAACCGTCAACCAAAACTAATTGTGCGAAGCCTCATGCTCGTTTTGCGAGGCATCCTCTGAATTACCAATAGTGAGCACTGTGAGGGTCATAAAGGGGACTTCGAAATTCGTGGTTGTCTTTGCTTTCATCTGAGCCAACCTAGAAAGAGGACCGACTCAGGGAGAAAAACTACTACACTTCTGCCTCGGTCGCACTCTCACTTGAAGGGACATTGACAACTTACATGGTTCAAACAGTTGGGAAACCAACAGTTCAGATCGCAACTGAGCACCTTTGTTCATTTGCTTAAGTCCTCTGGAAAGAATAAGCATACTTCCAATAGTGATAACTTCCCGTCAAAACCAGCGGGGGGAAGAAAACAAACGACGTTCCTGGCCTCAGATCTCCTGTTCAAAGTCAAACTGTTTGTGGGTTAAAAGGGCAACCCCACCACTAAACCAACTCAAAAGCTAAACACATTTCCGGGGATGCGAAACCAACTCAACAGCCTAACAACCTATGGAGCCAGACAGCTGAGAACCACCGGCCTCTCCAGCACCCCCTCGGCTGCGCTGATGACGTCCGGGTCCACCCTGAGCCGCTTGGCCTGTGCCAGCAGCGTCTCGATGAGGGGCAGATCCCTCGACTGCTCCGCCTCGCAAACAAACCCAAAGCGGAACACGGAAGCCTAAGAATCTAGGCAGAAGTAACCCAATGGGTCTCTCTGCGGACTCATTTCCGGCCGGCCAAAACAAGTCCAAGCGGATTGTCTTTGCCACTAAAAAAAGCCAAAGAGTAAGGTCATAACGTGAATTTTTGAGGCTACTCCTTCTTGGTTTTAAAGGGAACCAAGAGGGAAACCACAAGTCTTGGGGGTCGCCTAAAAAAGAGTACCCCCGTTCAATTACTGCAATTCACCATCGCGGTTGGACCAGGAAGTGTCCTTGTTCTAGGCTGTTTTTTTGGATGGGTTTCAGGGAACACACAACTTTCAACACATGTTTTTTGAACTGGGGAAACAATTCCCCCTTTGTTTTTTCTCTCTGACAAACCCAAACAGCAAATTTATTGGATCCTAGTTTAATAACAAAAAACATAACAACAAATAACAGCAAAAAAACAAGAAGATAAAACATAACAAACAACCAAACACAAAAAAAAAACATAACAAACAACAACAAAAAACATAACAAACAACAACAAAAACATAACAAACAACAAACACACTTTTGGGGAGGGGAGATTCCCAGGGTGTTTTACGCGCAACACCCGTGGGTTGGATCCCAAAGTCTCGGACTTCCAATTTCTTCCGCCTCGCGGAGCTCCTCGATGGCCGCCAGCTTCCGCCTGGCGAGATCCACGTGAAAACGAGGGCTGGATCCGGAAGACACCGAAACCTGAAGAAAAAAAAGATGGGGTTCTTGCATCCAAAACAAAAACTACGGCTGGATCCGGAAGATACCAAAACCTAGAAAAAGTGGTGTCCTTGCAGCCCCAAACAGTGCAACGTGTGGTAAATGCCCCCTCAGAACCGATGATTGCAACCCACGACTATGAGTGCACTCCAACTTTTCTGAGGTAGATGCACAAATTGCAGCCCCAAAATGAGATTGTGGATGAGACCCGCCCCTTTTTTCCTATGGGTAGATCCAGGGTCCAGTTGGCTGGGCTCTTCTCTCCGAAGAAGCCAAAGGTCCTCGATCTTAGGCTTTTAGGCTTCCAGGCTTCCAAAGCGGGCTGAGCCGGTCACACTAAAGACATCAAACGTCACATGTACCTCTCGAGGGTCTGCTTTCTCGAGGGTACCCTATTTTGGGATGGGATTCAAAAGCTATTTTGTTTTCCTTGGGGGGAGGGGCTCCCATAATTTGAGCACCGAAATGGAACCCTAATTAGGGCTCTAAAGTCGGCTTAAGTCCATTGAAATGTTTTGTTTTGAGGGTGTCCCTTTGGAATTCAAACAATATTCAAAAGGAAAAAACAAAAACGATAGTTCCAGCCCTTCACAAGCTCCGGGCCCCAGGAAAAATTAAATAAACAACATATTTCCAGTAGTGATGAATTCCTTTCAACACCAACAAGGGAAAATAACATCCATTTTAAGGTAAGAACCCATGGGGTGTTAGAAGACATCCTTTCATCCACCCTGAGGCCACCCCGAAGCCACCGCCCGGCTTCGGGTTGACTCACTCCGACCTGGCCACCTCCACTGTCAGGTGCTCCAGGCCCTTCTGCTCCGCCTTCAGCAGCAGCGCCCGCAGCGCAGTTCGGGTGGAGGCCTGGCTCCGGCTTTGAAGCTAACTAAACAATCGATAATTAAGGAATCCTCAGGTATCCTCAGGAAAACCTCCCTGCACCTTTCAGTTGAGCTCGTCAACCATTTCTCCAGCTGCAATTATTTTGTTCTTCCTTTTGGTGTGTTCTTTTCAGGGTTTTTGGTATGTTTTTTCAGGTTGCCGAAAGCATCCAAGAGCCCTCCCCCCCCCCGGCCCTATTTGGCTGTGTCTCCCCAAGCCCCGCAAAACATGTGTGATAATCAAAACCCGGAACAAAAATGGTCGACCCAGAGCCATGCTTCAAGAACTAAGAAGCCGGATATCCGCAGCTATGTCTGGCTGGGACGGTCCCCCGTACTAAGCTTCACTTCCCCGCTTTTGAGTCTGGCTCAACTTGGTTCGCTCCAAGCCGAGCCGACTCGGGCGCTCAGCGATCTATGAGAGCACCCACACGGAGGCAACCAAAATTTCCCTATGGTGGCTTCCATTTGCTTAAGCTCCCTGGAAGCCATTGAAAAATATGTCCAGTAGTGATAGGTTCCCGTTAAAAGCCAGGGGAAACATCCGCCGACGCCAGTCGAGCGTGTAGATGGCAGTCCGCAACTTGGTCTTCCTTCGGAATCTCTTATCAAAGCCGAAGGCTTTTGGGACTGCTATTTTTTGGGCATGCTGCGCTAGGTTTCCAAAATCGGTATTTGTTCCAGTGTTTTTGGGTTTTTCGTGCCCAAAATCTGCGTTTCGCGTAGGTCTCTAGGGGGGGGGTGTTCCCCCGGACGCGCAGGATCTGCATCCCCAGCATCATCAGGATTATCGTGCTGCCATGAATTTGTCTCTTTTTGCAGATAGTAGTGGTTTTGCTGTTTCAAGCAATGTTGGAATTGGCCTGTTAGGGGTTTGGGTGGGGCCAAGTGCAGTGATATTTTGAGGAACTGTTGAAATTCGCAACAACGAGTGTTTTTTGCAATTCCCCACCTGTACGGAGCAGTTACTGCGAAACATCCCCTGCATTATTGTGCTTTTGGAAGTCTGTTATTAGGGTATTTGAGGTATCAGCTTTTGATGGTTGATTTTGGGAAATATCGAAAAACCATTGTTTTGTTTGCACTTTTTTTGTGGCTAGCCGGCTGCATTCCCAGCATTCCCCACATCTCTTGTATTTTCTGTGTTTGGTCAATGTTGCGTGTCTGAAAGTCTGAAAATCTTGAGCGCGAAGATTGGGTCTGTTCCTGTAAGTTGTGTGGTTGCACCCCTTGCATTTCCAGCATTTTCAGCATCTGGGACATGAAAAACAGGAAAGTGCCAAGAAAGCCTTGTTGATCATAACAAAACGTGGGCCTTGCTTTCATACCCTTTCATACCCTTCCGGAGGGTGGTTTAAAGAGTAGACCCTAGTGTTCTTCTCCTGTCACGTGTTCAGCCCTGCGGCCGAAGTCAGAGCGGAGTTGTTTGCATTCTCGTTAAGAGCCCCATCCTTACCCCAAATTCAAGGCACCTCAGACAGGACCGTTGCTTGTTCTCCTTCCAGGCGTTAAGGGACCCATGTGACCTAAGCAAAAAAAACGTCTTTTTCCTGACCCCAAACTTGAGGTACAACCAACGTCTTTTTCCCTGCCCCAAATTCGAGGCACCCTGCAGCCGACGTCAGAGGGGAACTGTTTTGTTTGTGTTCTCCTTCCACACGTTAAGAGCCCCAGTTTGACCTAAGCAAAAAAGCGTTCTTTTTTCCTTACCCCAAATTCGAGGCACTCTGCAGCCGACGTCAGAAGGGCGTTGTTTGTTCTCCCTCAACACGTTAAGAGCCCGATGTGACCTAGGCAAAAAGAAGTCTTGTTCCCGGCCCCAAATTCGAGTCCACGCGCTAAGAGCCCCACTTGACCTAGGCAAAAAGAAATGAAGTCTTCTTCCCTACCCCAAATTCAAGGCACCCTGCAGCCGACGTCAGAGGGGCGTTGTTTGTTCTCTTCCACTCGTTAAGAGCCCCACTTGACATCAGCCCCAGTTTATTAATAGGGGACTGTCCACTGGCGTCGGCGCGATTTCAATATTCTGGACGTGTGTGGCTGAATTTACTGGCAATATAGGGCATCCACCCTGCCAGAAGGCATGGAATTGGTTCTGGCAGGGAATGGCTTTATTTTTTTACCACTTAAGAGCCGGTACTACGTATCTAATCTCACGCTGGTGGTACGTATGTAAGCATCCATACCTTGAAAAAACAAGACCTGGAAACGCCCTTGCGTGGAATCCAAGAAACACGGGAAGACTTTCATCTGGGTTCAGCTGTCCACGAGGGGGACGTTTGGTTTCAGCATGTCCCCAAAAGACATCATCCCAATGAACCCTGCTTTGTTTCAGCAGCTGCCAAACTGAGATCATCCCAGCAAAACCCTTCACAGGAAGAAATTACTGGGGTACCACATGTAGCTATGGCCAAATCTCCGAAGCGTACCGTACCAGATTTTGGCCCGACCCTTGTTTGAAGCACGGGTTTCGACCCAACAAAGGCGCCTTTTAGGGGAGCCAGACGCCTACCCTTCAGGAACGATACTGCTTTGGGTTGTCGCCATTTGCTCATGTGTACACATTTCCAAATGCATTGCATGTCTATGGTTGATTTCATGTTTTGCTCCTTTGATGTTGCTGGGCTGCCCTCAGATCCCCCCTAAAAGTTTAACTTTTAGTGGGTCAAATTCGGACATCCTACCACTAAACCCTGAAAGCCGAAAAAAAGCCAAGTTGAACCGGAGGCCTGAAGACCAAGGTCGATGAACTCAGTTGCCCAAAGGACCTGAACATAAAAGGTTAACCTTTTGGGACCTCTACTAAAAATAGACCAAAAGGGGAAACCAATAGGTCAAAAGGTCGGCTTTGAACAACTGAGTGAATGCTTTTGGGAGCCGAGCGCAAACCCAGGAGATCCCTTCGACGTCGCCTCTGAGAGCTCTCGGAGCAGTTGAAGAGTGGCCAGCCGCTCGCGCGCGCCTTCCTCGGTGCCGGGGGTTGCCGAACCCCCGGGAGAAAAAAGGCGCCCCGGGGCCCGAAAGACTTGGTGGACGTTGGGTTTGGGGAGCAAATGTGCGTGTGTGTGTGTGTTTTTTGTTGTTTCTCGTGTTTTTTTTCTCTTTTTTCGCCCATGCAAATTTGCAGTGAAGTGGATTTGGATTTCAACCACTCAACCACAACAAGCAAAAATGAACATGTTTCCCAACAACAACCATGTTGAGATCCCCAGGCCTGTTGAACAAGACTCCTTGGTGGAGCAAAGAGCACCACTTGTTCTCTCGGAATCCAGAAAGGCCAAGCCTTTTGGTGGTGCAATCTGCTGAAAGACGAAACCACCACAAAACAAGAAGGTAACACTGGGTGTCTCACTGGGTGTCTGGACATCCGTGCCAAACAAATATGGGAAAAGTTGGGCTCTATGGCTCCCATTTTTAATTGGGATGTTGCATGAGTTTAGTATATATCATATGGTTTCTTCTTCCTGGCTCCGTACCTCCCCCAATTATCCATGGCCATCAAGATCGTACCGATCGAAAGTCGATTCTGAAGGTGAAAACGAAACCGAGGCCAACTTCGATTCGACGCGCCCTGCTTTCTTGACTGAGCGTACGCGCACAGGCTCAATTGCTTTGGGGGGTTCAGGTATGGGTTTTGGAGCTATGGAACCACTGGTAAAATGGATATACACTGCCTGTATTTCAAGCTTATGGTGTTACATAACCATCATGTTTAACCATCCATACCTCCAAAACCACTACAGTACCTGAACACGCCTTTTGATAAAATGATGATGCAACCTGCGAACACAAAGGATGAGTGAGGCCAACGCACGAGGCTGGGTAGGACTCTTCCCCAACAACAAATCCCACAGGGCGGGGCCATTTTTTTTGAGGCTCCTGCTCTGGGGTCCCATGGTGCGAGTTGCAAGAAAAACACTGTCTGTAAAAAAGTGGAACAGCTTCAGTTTCCTTAGTTCAGGGTAATCTTGCGGAAAGCTGGGCAGCATGAAACTGCCTTGAACGACGTTGTTTTGCGGTGAGCAACTTGATTTGGCGTCAGCGATTGAGTCCTATAATGATGTCCAAAGCTTTCCTAGCAGCATTTCCGGGCATGATATGGAGGGGCATGCGCATGATATGGCAGTGATACGGGCCTCAGAAAAAAAAGACAAAAAACAAGAAAAACTGGGCAACAATGCGCAGTTGGACGCCCTCAAAACTGGGACCGACGGAACGAAACCTCTGTCTCTCTCTCTCTCTCTCTCTCTGTGAGACTCCTTTTCTTTTGAAGGCCCTTTGAATCACAGGGCACAGAATACTATCACAGGTCTGGAACAAAAAGGCCCTTGCCCATCCATCTGTGGCTTCCCTTTGACCAAACTGCTTGTCAGGGAACCCTAGGTCTGTGCCTTACTAGCCCCTTTCTAAAGCCTTAAGCACCTCTACGGGTGCCCTAAATGGGGCCCTAAATATGGAGGGAACCAAGACACCGATTCTCTACCTTACCCTTCCTGGCTGGTTGAGATATGATCGGCCTTGCAAGATGACTCGGAGCGCCTCCTTCCGTGCCATAGGGCCCCATAGGTTTCGATCAAAATCAAAAAGGCCGCCGCCCAGCGGCCAATTCCTCTGGCGCCAGCAAGACCTTCGCTTCCTCGGGCGGAGGCTTCGGGAGGGAAGTGAACTGGTTTCCCTTGGCTGCCTGACCTTCGGGCGTTTCTCAAATTTGGATTCGGACCCCGCCATGTGGATTCCTTCTGGCGGCCCGTTAAAACCATCCAAAAAGGGGTCCCCTATTCTGAGAACCCCCCACTCACTGAACGCAACATTGGAGGCTTGCAACCCACTCTGCGGCCCAGTTTTGAACTGCAGCATTTCATCGGAAGGGAAGGGGGCAACGTAAACTGCAGGGCTTTTCAGATCACAAGAAATCCATATTGGTTCTCATAGAACTGGACGAATTCAAACAACCCTAAGGCTCATGACTCCTACAATGCATGCCCCGAGCCCTCTCATAAAAAACCCGGACCCTTGAGGGACCCTTGAAAACCATCCATGTTGAGGGCCCAAATCCAATTGGGAGTCCACTTGGAACAAACTGAAGAAACTTGGTCCTGCAGCAGCTCCCGGATCTCCGCTTCATCGTCGCTGAGTTCCACCTCTTCCGATCCGATCAAGAGAAACTGAAACCATCATGGGTGCGTCTTTTTCAATTTGAGGTGACCTAAAGTGGTGGTTTCCCGGAGAGAACAAAGAAAACACAAAAAAAGGTGCAGCAACTCAAAAGACGAGCCAGGGACCACCCGATTTCGTTGGCCCCCTTAACCCAACCCCTGGCTGGCAAAACAAAGGTGAAGATCTTGCCTCTATCCAGGACGAGTGGACTGGCCGAACAAAATGGCAGCCAAACGTTTTATTTACCACTAACATGGTCCAAACCCAACCAGCTTAAAGTCCATGAACTCAGAGAGTAAGCAGTTTCATACCTAGTCAACCCCAAGATATCTGAAATACTCTGAGAGGAGTGTCCCTTCCGGTACGTCAAAATCTATTCTTCGCTATGCGGAACCCAAATTAGTTCGCTCGCTTGGCTAAAGGACCCAAAGAAAAGGCAGACCTTTTGAAATTTGGAACCATGACGAAACATGGAGCAACATGGGAGAACCAAAAGGTCAAACGGGGTGTTTTGCTTTGGGGGGGAACCGCAAGAATGGTTGGTTTCCTTCTCGTTTCCCTTCAACCCAACCAAAAAGGGTATCCTAAAAAAGACACACCCAAAGGCTGGTTTTGGACAACTAAGGATGGACTTGTCTTTTTTGCTTGTTCCCGATCATAGCTACCCCAAATTCTCGTTGGTGCAGGGAAGCCACAAGAGAAACGCCGCAAAAGAAAAAGAACACAAAATGGAGGGTCCACAACCAAATACAACATTGGAGGGGGTCCCACACCCGGAAAAAAAAAGAAGAAAAAAAAGAAACAAAACCCAACACACAACGGCCCGCCCGGTGCTCGCTTGTGTTTCTTCCTTTCTCGAGCGAGAAAACGCGCCTGCGCCACGTCGGCGCGTAGGCGCTGCACGGTGAGCTGCTGCAGCGTCTCGGTGGCCGGCTCCAGCTTGCTGGAGGGGACGTTCGCCTCTCGCGCCTCGAGGGGTGGATGGATGGATGGGTGGATGGGTAGCTCGGTGGATGGATGGTTGCTCGGTTGCGAACTTTGCTCCTGCTAAAAGTTGCCAACTTTCAGTGGTTTAATACGGAAAGCCAATTCATTAGTTGGCAAAAAGTTAAGGTCCCAACATCCAAGCAAAACGCAAAAAAGGTTGGATGGATGGATGGATGGATGGATGGATGGATGGATGGATGGATGGATGGATGGATGGATGGATGGTCCAAGATGGGTGGATGGTCCAAAATGGATGCCTTAGGGTTGGATGGATGGATGGTGAATGATAATATTTCACCAGCCCCATTTCCCAAAATGGGTTGTTTTGAAGGGCTCATTTCCGTAAAGTCCGGGTTCTTCATCAAAGGGGGGCCTGCATTGTGGGGGTCATGAGCCTTAGGGAACCTGAAATAAGGTGGTTGGAGGGATATTCTCCGCATAAACCACCATTTGGGGTGAGGTCGTGTGAGGTCGCTATAATTCACCCTTCGCATTGGAAGGGAGGCAGCAGCCACTTTCGAATTAACGTTCACCCCGGATCTAAGTAGAACCCCTGGTTGATTAATAGGGGGGTGTCCCCTTTTAGTGGGGATTCAGACAACTTTTGGAGGGAACACCCCCCCGAATAGTGGGACGGCTTTATTCATTCTGGGTCAACATTAAGTCAGGAACAAAGGACATGTGTCCAAAACGCCGTCGCAATAAAAAAGGAGAATTCTCCATGGGAAAGGAACTTCGGTGTAGGTAAAAATGCATACCTGAACCCTCAAATTCCCGTAAAGTTGGGTTTACCCCCCAAAATTCTGGGATGATATCCCTCTGAAATTATGAGCAAGGGAAATACCTGGAGTCTCCACCCAACACTTCAGGGCTCATGACCCCATTTGTAAGAAGTCATAACGACTCCAGGCATATGGTTCAACCCGCTTAGGGTTGAACGTTGACAAAGAGCTGGCGAGTCGGAGGATCGGATTTGCCCGTTTATGGGATGCAAGCTTCGAGCTCACCAAGAAAAAGTACGAAACCATGGGAAGCCACTGTTCGTTGGCATTTACAGGCGGAATCGAATCATTCTAGGGTTTCAATTAAGTGGTGCGAGAAGCGGATTTCGCAAGATTCCACAGCATGTTGGGGAGAGTGCAGGCGAAGTCAGCTTAGCCACGATCAAAACCCAGGATGCTGTTTCTTTTTGGTGGGGGGGGAAGTCCCAAGCAGAAGTAGGTGTGGAGGTGCGCCCTCGACGTTTCCTATGGCAAAGTTTTCTGGTGAAAGCAAAGAGGATGTGAGGTTGTGACGTCTAAATCTACTTCTATTGTTGTCCAGCCCTCCCCCCCTCAATAGTAGCCCTCAAACAACCAACCAATTTCAGGGTAGCCTGACCTATGGGGTGCATGATCAAAACAACCAGGGTACAGCATAACTTCCAAGGCTCACAAGACAAGAGGGGTTTTTGCATGGTTAGATTTGGGTTTGTGCAATCCTATTTATAACGCCGGATTCCTTTTAGCCCAGATCTTGGGAAATGAAAGGGGCCCCTGGGGAGTGTAGAAGGCTAAATTTGTGAGCAGTGCACGAGCCCCCAGCGTCTTGGGACCCTTCGATCAGAACCCTTTCGCCTGGTTTCTTCCCTGATGTCTCGGCATGATTCGGGTCATGGATGCCTATGAAGATTGCCAGAAAGTGATAGGGAAACGTTGAAGAACGATACCCCCAACTCTGCAAAACCGACAGGGGGACCCGACATACTGTTTGGATTGCAGCCCCGGCACTTAGACCTTACAAACGGGGGAGGGTTCTTTGGAACCTAGGTTCTTCCTGGTATGTCCTCCAAGTAGAGAGGTTCGAAGAAGGGTACAAACTTTTGCTGTAGTCTATTTTAGTAGGGTCCCGAACCCTCCCAACCAAAAAAAGAAACGGGACAGAAGGGCACCAGGAGCTAGTGGAGACTCTCCCAACAGACCACACTTTTCTGGAACTCAGGGAAATCGAAATCGACTTGTCTGGTCGGAGCCTGGTCGATGGCCTCCCGTAGGTCCTGCTCGCTGATCGCCTCTGCGCGCGCCACGTTCATCAGCTCCTGCTCGCTGATCGCCTCTGCGCGCGCCACGTTCATCAGCTCCTCAGTCGGACTCGCGACTCGCCAGATTTCGAGCCAAGCTGAAACGGGTGTGGTTCAAAAATAGGTACCCTACATGGCTTGCCCTGGTAAATGGAACCAAGGACAACAACCTGCCAAGGTCAAAACCTTGGTTGCTGCAACGACCCCTCTGCAAAAAGTGGATCACTTTTTTTGTGGGTTTAATATGGAAAACCCCTTCATTTCCCCCAATAGCAGTCAAGAAAACCCAGTATTAAAATGGTCCAAGCGCAGAACCATGTACAGAATTAAGAAGGCGAATATCCTCAGCTATTTATGGTTGGGGTTGTCCCTTACTAACCTTCATCTACCCAGGGTTGATCAAAAGGTCTGGTAAACATGGGATGACCAGTGTCTAGGAAAAACCGCGAGAAAAAACACTTGATACTTCAACCACATGGGAAAAGCTACCCATGCCCCAAATCAAGAATCGTCTCAGAAGCCACAGAAAAATTGAAGCCAGAAGTGGTCTTCTTGAAGCAAGCTTGATACTTGACACAGCCAATGAAGAAAGCGCCCCAGAACTTGGGGCGCTGCAATTCTCCAAAGTTAGACCCCAGCTCGCACCCAGTGTGGGCCTGGGAGTCCACGAAAAAACTGGGCGAAGAACTCACAGGCAACCGTTGCCCAGTCCACTTTTTCAATACGGGATCTGCCGCTCACTGGCTGAGTGGATGGCCCCAAAAAAGTCCAAACTTTATAATTACCACTAACATGGTCTTCCCAAAAAGTTTGAAGTTCATGAACTCAGGAAGTGAGGCGGGCCGGTGTCCCATGACAAACCTTGCTGGTTCACACTCCTTTTGGAAAAGAAAACCATAATTGCATAACGTTGACTTCGGATCAATCTGGCCTACGTACTAATCAGGGATGGCTCTCATGACCTACTTTTGGATGAGTAGGGACCTCTGGACCTATGCACCCAGGGTGTCTTTTTGTATGGGACCCACAAAATGGATGGGCATTTCTCAAGTTGATTTCCTTTGACTCAGTTGTTCAGCGACCCTGGAAAAAAAGGGAACCCGTTTTTGGGAAGACCGAATTTTTAGTGGGGCAGCCACCAAAAAAGTTGGAAAAAGAATTGGAGCCACCGAAAAACTGAGTTTAAACCTCTATCAGAAGGGCAACCTTCACAAAAAGACGAGCCACCCAGCCAACTGCTTTACCTTTTCTCGGTTGCTTACTTCTCCCCGGCTAAAAGTTTAACTTTTAGTGGTTTGATAGGGAAAACCAATTCATTAGTTGGCAAAAAAGTTAAAGTCCTAACATCCCTTGGCAAAATGCAACAAAGTTTTCTCGGGACCATAGGTACGCCCCTGGGCCATTTCCTGCACCGAAGGCGCCCTCTCAAGCGCCAGCTCCGCCAACACCGCTTGCCCTGCCCCCAAAGCCTCCTCCCTCCTGAGCGATTGCCCCGTTTACAAAAACTTCCGGTGGATTGGCCAACACAACCAGGTCCTCCAGTAGAAAGGTTAGAATAAGGGTACCCTTTTTTTCTGCAGTCTAATTTAGTAGGGGAACCCTCCCCCAAAAAGAAACGGTAAAAGGGCAATACTGGGGGACCTAGACAAGTAACCACGAAAATGGTCTTTCCAAAAAGTTTGAAGTGCAGGAACTTGTGGAAGATTCGGCGCTTGGGTCACCGCTTCATCGGATGAAACAAAAATCCACTTGGCTGTGGCTCAAAAAACCGGTACCAAAATGGAACCCTGGTAAGTGGAAACATGGACCGACTAATTTTGAGCCACCCCCACTTGGCATTAGTTGGTAAGTGGCTTTATTCTAGTATTGGATTTGTTGATCCACAGGGCCCCCAAGAAGGAAAAGCTCTGGGGCTCGTGGCCAAATGCCACTTGCTTATGAAATGAGGGTCGCGTCTAAGGTCGACTCATGTGTCTTGTTTGTTGCGTTTTGTTCGACAATGGGTTGTCGAATGGCCAACAAAGCGTTGGGGGGTGGGTGGAGGGATAGCAATTGCCTTTCTAGCGTCTTTCCAACAATAAATCATCTTCCAACACCCCCGCTTTGCACTGCCATGATCATTGGGCCGAGGGAAGGGCCGTTTTTCGGGTCTAGTCCTGCTGTCAATCGAAAACTGATGGGTCTAGGTCCTCCAGTAGAGGGTTAGAATAAGGGTGCCCTGTTTCCCTGTAGTCTATTTTATTAGGAAAACCCCCAAGAAAGAAACGGGAGAGAAGGGCACCAATGCAGAAAATGAAATTTCCCCATACCACACACCCACTTGCCTTCGGGGTCTCAGACCAAGTTATCTTGGAGCCCCGATATCCATCAGGAGCCTTGCATCCATCCGGAGCTTTACGTCGCTCGCCTCGCTTCTTTTGTTTAGCCTTAGGCCTGGGGCTCTAGTCATGTTGTCCATCGAAATTTCTTGGGGCGGTGGCCCTGGGGAAGAAAAAAAAGGCGACAAACGCCGCTCGCTTCTCGCGTCGGAGATTTTTCGTCCGCTCGCATAAGTCGCGTCCTCTCCCTGAGCCCCTCCGACATCTCCATCTTCCGGAGCTCTGCCAGCAAAGTTCGCAGCTCCGACTCGTCCCGAGCCTCCCGGGCGCGTCCATCGCTTCGTTTTGGGCTCCGGTTTTGTGGTTTTGGGGTTTTGGCAGGGGGACTTTGGGCATAGAGGCAACCGGTGACCCGAGTTTAAAAAAATATAAAAGTAGAAGCCATACTCCCAATTGTTGAATGCCAGTTGCAGCCACTAAGAATGGAACATGCTTGCGGCCGGCCATTTTGAGCGAAGAAGATTGGGGGCGCAAGGGGGGCAAGCTGGGTTGCAGCCTGATCGATCGGCGCAAGGAGAGACCACAAGACCTTGAGGCCATGGCTGGGAGCAACCATGGAAAGCATACCTAAAAGAACCAATGAAGAGCCTGGAAACGCTTTTCCATTCGGGACCTTGACCCGTGGGTTGCCAAAATAGGCAAAGGTCAGGTCGGCGGCATGATTCTTCACTGGTGGTACCTCCTAACTTCCATGCAACACGATGCAGTCTAGAAAACACCCGGATCCTCGATGGCGTTGTCCAGCCAACCCAGCTTCCGCTCAGACACCACCCGGCTCAGCGTGTCCTGCAAAGCTTGAGCACCCCGAAAACCACGAGATGAAGAGGGTAGCTAAACCACTTTGCATGTGACTTGCTCGAGAGGCTCTAGCACCGTCAAACTGAGTGAGTGAGCCTTGTTGAGTCTGCCCTGAACGCCTGAACATGTGGCTCAGCTTGTCCGCCATTGGAAAAGATCAGCTTACTTTTGACACCCCCTCCAAGAAACAGGGCGCACTTCCAACCAAACTGTGCACGTCTTGAACAGGCGACCCCTACTGTATGGTTAACTTCCTGTGGGTGTCCTTTCAAACCACCCCCGGCGCGCGGGGTGTGCGATGGACCTCAAACAAAGACACACCCAACTCCCAAGCGCGGAGCAGAAACGAACCCCTGCCGATCGGTTTCGACTGCGAATCCGATCGGATTCGAAAAAGCGTCCTGGGCTTTGTCGATCTCTTCCTGTGGCACCTCCTGTCGCCTGGCCTCACGACGTTCCGACGTCCCGACGTTCCGACGTTCCAAGTCCGACGCGGATTCGGCTGGTTCTCGGCGGTCCGCCGAGTCCAAGAGTCACCAGAAAGCCGAAGGTTTCGGCCCTGCTTTTCTGTTACCAGGGACCCATTTTGGGTACATATTTTTGACCCAGAAGCAAATGTCAGCTTCCCAGTTGGTGCCTCCAGGTGGCTAGATCCTTCACACTGGTGGGCATTTGGACTCACGGTTGTCCTAAGATCAGCTTGCCTCAGACAGGGTGGTGTGAATCCCGGTGGTGAAAAGCTGTTCCGGACCACCGCCAATCCAAACCAACAGGGGTTCTCGGGGGTTCAAATGGCGACCTATTTGGGGTAACCTGATCAAAGGGCATTAGAATGGGTGGGGCATGTTGAAGCCTTTTTCATGATGACACTATACCGGTAAACCTCTTAACTATGTTCCCCCCTATATTAGCCTTGGTTTCATGATGTCAAGTTATGAGGGCGTTTCTCAGCTATGGAATGCAATGTGGAAACAAAACACAACAAGCTGCCAGTGAGATGGTTTTCGTGTTTGTTTTGTGGCCCACCTGATACTGCATCCCTGTAGAAGCCACCTCCGCGAAAAGAAAGGATCGAGCCGGCGGGGCTGGGCGTCCCTTGCAGCTATCACAGGGGTCGCTGGATTTCTCATCTCCTTCAAAGGTTGGAATTCACTGGTGATTTCCAGTAGAAACTGCAACTCTTGGCGGTTCCGGCCTTTGGAAGAAATGGGGGGAACAATGAACCCAGGCAAACCGAACTTCCACAGAAAGCCATACGAGATGGTTCGCTCCCTCATTGTGAGAGTCAGCTGGTCCCTCGAGGTTGCTAACGGGTTCCTGCATTTCCCTTGTTTAAGCCCATGTCAACAGCACCATTTGAGCCAATTTTGGATGACTTTCCCTTTGATGGGGTGATGTTTGGGAAGAAAAATGTGAAGTACTGACTAGGGGGGATCGTTAGTAAGCTTTGATAACCCCTGCTCGTCGGCTCGTCAAGAACCAGCCAGCTGTTGGCGGATGCCCTACATATATTGCAAGTAGGTGAGTTATAAGGGCACCTTTAGGGAACCAGAAATGTTATGTTAACCTTCTGACCCATAAATAAAAAACAGCTGACGACATCAGGGAAACCAAAGGGTGAAAAGGTGAATTCGCTTTGGGCAAGTGAGCGCAACAATAAGCCATCCTTCTGGTTTTACGAGGGTGCCTGGCTCCCTTGGTTTCCTACTAGCTGTTATTTGCTTAAGCCCCCTGGAAAAAAAACACAAAACAATACTTCCAGTAGTGATAGATTGTTTCCTCATATTCGTTCATTTTGGACAATAAGGGACCATCTTAACTGGGCTGTTCAAAGGCATTGTAGTGGTTTCCCGAGAGGGCTTCAGGATTGGCCACGCCAAGCCTCCACAAAAAAGCAATACTCACTTCACACGTTTTTATTCACCGCTAAAATTGATCTCAAAAGTGACTGAAGTCATCTGAAGTCCACCTCAGGGAGTGAGACGTGAGACTTAACCTCCCATTAAACATGCAACCTCACCAGAAACAAGAGGGTTCTGGTTTTCAACACCATTTTCCTCCAAACATTCTTCAGGGGTACCCAGAACTCTGTTCCTTTCTGCTCCCCTGCCGAAAGTTCAACTTTCAGCGGTTTCATGGACAACCCTTCAGTTGGCAAAAAGTCCTAAAGTCCTAACCTCCCCTGGCAAAACTCGCGCCAAAGACCGAAAAAATGGAGACACCGCCGCAGCAGAAAACCGCCTCCGGCACCAGCCCCTCCCGCGAGCTCGCCTCGCGGATGGCGTCCTTCAGCTCCGACTCCTCCTGGCGCAGCACTGCGCGGCGCAGCTCCTCCGTCTGCCGCTCCTGGCATGGGGATAGACACCTCCCTGGAAATATATAAAACAAAAATATATTGATGGATCATCTCTGGAAATATGTCAAAACAATAAACTAATATATATATATATATATATATATACACATAATCCTTCACACATGTATGAGTCAGGGATATATGTATACATATATAGGGGGTGCATCTATATATATATATATGTATATATATATATATACACATATAATTGCATATTTGCATTCAGCGTGTGTGTGTGTGTGTGTGCGCGTTGTCTAAACCAGTGTTTTCTTCCATCTACATATATATGTGCCGGGCTCAGTATTCCCCTTACCTTCAGGAGGAGGGGGGTTGGGGGCCCCCAATTCCATGAATCTAGTCTCCCCATGAAAGGGAAAATTGAACCACAAATGGAGATCTCCAGGGATCACCCCCTCCCCAATCAACCATTTTTAAAGCAAGCATCCTTACATGATACACCTCAACACTGCCTTGTAAATTGTGGTTTCCCATTACTTGGCTGCAAAAAGCAACATGTTTCAAATGGTTACATGTATCTTGTAAGGAGCCCTGAATTTAAGGGCCCGGGGATTTTTTCCACTCCCGGTGCTGATGGCACCAAATCTCTCTTGCTCGCCTGGATCAGCTCGTTGAGCACCTGCTGTGCCGCCTCCAGCTCCTCCTGGGGCAAATCCAGCTTTCGCGCCTCGGCTGGTGACTGGCGCCGGGAGGTGCCGGGAGGAGCGACTCCAAGGGGTGGGGTTGAACTGCCAGATGTTTTGGGCTTCCAATTGGTTTTCCGCCCCCTGGGAAAAATGAGAACATATAGTGACATGGGGGTGAAACATGGCTTCCAGTTGCTTTTTCGCCCCCTGGGAAAAAGGAGAACATATTAATCCAGTTGTGAAATCGATTCCAACTTAAAAACCAGCAAGGGAAAATAAAACATGTTCTTAGGCAAATGGATGCAAAGGGTAGGGCTGAGGTGCCCACATTAGGTGTGTCCTAGGTGTTTTTCGACAAATCGGATCCCTGTCTAGGTCCTCCAGCAGAGAGGTTAGAATAAGGGTACCTTTTTTTTTTCTGTAGTCAATTTTAGTACGGGAACCCTGCCCAAAAAAAGAGTAAATCGGCACTACTGGGGGACCTAGCTGTTCTTGGCTCTACAAGATTCCACAGGTTTGATTTAATGGGCCGAAACCTGATAGAACCACATGCTGTAATGGCCGAGGGGCGTTTGGGGCGCTGATCATTTGGCAAGCTCGAATGGTGGAATGTCTCCCTGGAATGTCTTCTTGTAAAGGCAAACTGGAAAAGCTAGAATCTGTAATGTTGGCACTTGATTAATAAACGGCCCACCTGAACAATGGACTTGTTTGAGTTAGTTGTTTATTTTACTTTTGTTTGTTCGCAATATTGCTTCTCAAGAGAAGGACTCTATTCTGGTCCACTTAAACAATGTCAGGGAACCAGAAAAAGAATGAAAAGTGGACTCTATTCCGTTCCACTTGACTCATGTGCCAACATTCTGGGCTTTCACTTTCCATTTGGTTAAGACCCCCAAATCCAAATATGTCCAGTAGTGAGACTTCCCTTTAAAAGCAACAAGGGAAAATGGGACATATTCATTTCAGCAAACGGAACCAACCGCCAAAGGACCTCGGAGATGGCGTCTCTCAGCTGCTCCTCCTCTTGGCCTCCAGCGCGCCAAGGTCCCTTGATCCAAGCCGAACCCCGAGTTGCTTTGGATTGGCTTGGAGTTGAATTTCAAGTGGCTCTTGTGGGTCAATATCTTGGACCCCCGAGCCCCTTTATGCACCAAATCCAAACCATCAAGAGGGAAGCTCTCTGTCCCTCTTTATTTTCTCTTTTCTTTCTCTTTCTCTTTCTCTTTCTTTTCCCTTTCCCGTCATCTGGTCTGGAAAAACATGAACACATGTCCTCAAGCGGTTGCTTCCCCACCTCACTTCACGCGCAATGATCCGATTCATAAGCCTGGCAGCCAGTGACCTGCAGCTGTGCATTTCCTTGCGGCTTCCAGCATGACACTTGTCTTCCAGTGGTTTGGATGGGGAATTCATAGGGTAACGTCTCCCCCAAAAGTCAAAACTATTCGTTGGAATCTAGGGAGCACCGGCTTCTTTTGAGCAGATTCCGTCTCAACAAAACCTTCTTGCTCAGATTCCGTCTCATCATTTACGCAACGTTGACAAAACACATCAGGGGCCATGCCTTCCGGCTGAGCAACTAGGTCCTCCAGATTTGAGAGGTTAGAATAAGTTGGTACCCCTCTTTTTTGCTGTAGTCTATTTTAGTAGGGGAACCTTCACAAAAAACCTGGCTGGGACCTAGGCTGGGATTTTCGGTGCAGGCTGAGCGGCACTCCGCCGAGTTTTGCAGGTACTTGGAAGCTTTGTCCAAGGTCGTCTGACGCAGCGTGTCCTGACAGAACGCCATGGTCTGACAGGAGTTTGGACCAAAATCATTGCACCAATTCAGCGGCTAGTCACCTCTCAGTTGCCCCTTCGGCAAGAACCCAGAAGTAGACGGTTGACCGTTTGGGGCCAGAACTGATGGTCCAACAAAAAGGGTAACTTCGGGGTCAAAAGGTCGATTCGCTTTGGGCAAGGCTTGTCCAATGCATGCGAGGCTTCATGATTCCCATGTGCAGGATTCTGTCCATCCACAATACCTCCTGGCAGGACCCCACGATGGGGTTTCGCGAATTGGGGACCAAAAGCAAGCCTGTGTGAATTCCTCCCGAGCACCATGGCACCATGTTGATGATCATAATCTATTGTTACTTCCTGAGTGGACTGGCCAAAAAAGTCCAAACTGTTTGCTTACCATTGTCTGCTGAATGTCCAGGAACTCAAGTGAGTATTGCTCCATTCCCTTTATGTGGGGAAAAATATACACCAGGTCCTCCAGTAGAGAGGTCAGAATCAGGGTACCCGATTTTTTCTCCGGCCGTCTATTTTAGCAGGGGCACCCTCCCAACCAAAAACAGGAACGGTAAAAGTTGGCACCAGGCTGGGGGGCCTAGGATCTACAGAGACTTGGTACTGGTGCCATCCTGCGCCAGAAATCTTCGGAAGCGGAGGGAGGGCTTCCGATGCTTGGATGTTCCCCGCTTCCGATTTGCTGCCCGGACCGATTCCGGCCAAAGGAACGACGAACCAGTGGATTGGCCAGCAGAAACGAAACTGTATCTTCAGAATTGGTTCAGATTTGCTCCAGGATCTCAGTCCGAACTTCTTAGTTATCATAAATCGTCCAACCTCGGATTTCGTCCAAATTATGCCAATTTGTAACTACCATTTCTCTTCTTCTTCTTTTTCTTTTGGGGGGGGGTAGTTACAAATTTGGTCCAACCCCCCCCCAAAAAAAAAAAAAACGAACACGAAAACACAAACTAACTAAATAAATAAATAAATAAAATAAATAAATAAATAAATGAATAAATATACACCCAACCAAACATCGCTTTCCAGGACCGCCGGTCCTAAGCGCCGCTTCCGCACGCGCGCGCTCGCGCGCGCGCTTCGAGGCGCGGGGCATTTCTCGTGCCGCGCCTTGGCCTCGGTGAGGGCCGCCTCGTCGAGGCCGAAGCGCCGGGCGAAGGCGATGGCCTCCTTGAGCACGGTGACGTCCGCGGAGGCCACCGCCAGCTCCTGGGGTGGGGGGGTGGTGGGAGGGGTGGGGCTGGGGGGGGGGGTGGGGGGTTGTGAGGGGTGGGGGGGGTTGGGGGTTGGGTGGGGGGTGGGTTGGGCAAAGGTGGTGGGGGTGGGGTTGTGGGGTTGTGGGGTTGTGGGGTTGTTGGGGGGGTTGGGGGGGTTGGGGGGGTGGGGGGGGTGGGGTTGGGGGTTGGGCAAAGGTGGTGTGGGGTGGGGTTGGGGGATGGGAGGCTCAGTTTGGTCGAAGGGAAACAACGGCAGGAGTCGGCACTACTTAACCTCAAGCACAAGTAGCTAACTTGGAGGCGGAGACATGGTGCCCATGGAAGTTCTTCGGGCATAAAGAGAGGTCGCCTCGCAGAAGCAAGCTCTCTACTTTCTGGGCAAAAAGTGACTAACTTTTAATAGGTTCAATGGAAATCCAACCACTAAACACTAAAAAGCCAAAAGGCTCAGGAACCGGATGGCTGAGAGGTACCAAGGTTTGTTTATTGGTAACAAGGGAGCATTGCGAGAGACAATCACTGGTTACACTGGTGCGAGCCGAGTGCAGGCATTCTCCACCACCCAGCTGTATCAAGGCCACCGTTTGATGGATCGCCATGTTGGCTGAAAAGTTGCCACGCTGTCACGGGGCCCCGTGAGGGTTTGGCCCTTTGCATTAAATATGCAACGCAAAGCTAAACCAAGAATTGTCCACAATCAGGAAAGCAAGGGGATTAATTTCTGAGTGTCCCAAAGGTTCATGGGGGAAAGCAATGCCCACGGGCCCACATGCGCTCTGCTCCCGGGAATCTGGGAAAAGACCTTCCCGGTAATCATTGGCCTGCTTAAAGACAAGTCTGATCTTCCTCTAGCTAACCAATCAGCCAAGCGATCACACCAAACACAACCAAACCAAACCAAACCAAGCAAGCAACCAACCAAACAAATCGACACAACACACACACATACAAAACACAACACAACACAACACAACACAACACAACACAACACAACACAACACAACACAACACAAGCAAGCAAGCAAGCAAGCAAGCAAGCAAGCAAGCAAGCAAGCAAGCAAGCAAGCAAGCAAGCAAGCAAGCAAGCAAGCAAGCAAGCAAGCAGGCAGGCAAGCAAGCAAGCAAGCAAGCAAGCAAGAAAACAATCAAATAAACAAACAAACAAACAAACAAACACACAAACACACAAACACAAACAAAAAAAAACAAGCAGGCAAGCAACCAAAGACCGACAAAAGCACACGGTTCAACACCTGCTATCCCCAGCCCGAAAAACTGGAACTGCATGTTTGCAACATTTAGCAACAAAAGAAGAAAAACAAGAGGAAAAAAAAACACACACATTCGAAAATTCCGACCCTCGTCCCTGTCTCAAAAAACGGAGGGGGGGGGGCCACCGGGTCCAGCTGGCGAAGGCTCTTGCGCTCCAGTAGCTCCCCTAAGGCCGCCTGAGCCTCTTGGATCTCCTCGAGGAAAAACAAAAAAAACACGGCGGTCAGCAGCTCAGGCGGGGGGGTATTGGGTTTGCTTTTTGGCCAAGTGGTACAAGAAGCAAGCAACACAGCTGGGTTGCTGCTGTTGACCCCCCAAAAAGTGCGTGTTTTCCACTTTTTGGGGTTTAGTTCGGAAAACCCCTTCCTTGATTTCAACCAACAAGTTAAGTCTAAAGATCCAACCCAATAGCAGTCAAGGTACCCACTAGCCCCATCCAGGTACCGCTCGAAGTAGGTGGCCTCTTACAAATCTTCTAGGGCTTCTTCCGGAATATTAAACATGTTCAGTGATGGACTACGGTGGAACAAAACTAGTAAGCAATGGAAGCGGTCCTTCAAAGCACAGGCATTCCGCCATTTCATATTGTATTGAAAACCAGCGACCCCCGAAGCACCAAGCCAGATCCACCGCTCAAAGTTTAACCTTCAGTGAGTTAAACGAAAACTCCCCCACTGTGTAAGGGGACGGCTGGGAAGCACCAAGCCTAAAGCACCTATAGCCCCCAGCCTCCTCGGGCAGCTCCAGTTGCTTCGCCTCCAGAATGGCTTTTCTCAGGAGCTCTTCGTCCTCGCTCTCGACCGCCTCCTGCAAGTTCTGCACGTTCTGCGCCAGGATCCTCAGCTTGTTCACTTCGGGCTTTTCGCTTCGGCGGAAAGGAGGGGACCAAAACGGCGGGTTTTCCCTGAGGGGCTTCCGCGTGCCAAAACCGGCGGGTTTTTTCCCGTTGGTTTCCCAGTCCAAGCCCACCAAAAGAGGGGGGCTCCTCCTACCAAAAGACGAGGGTACACTTTTGTTGGGTTGGGGTAAAGGGACAAGCCGTATCGGTTTTTGGGGTGCCCTATTTTGAAACACAACAATATCCTGCTTGAGTTTCCAGAAAACTCAGCTACTACCGGCCATTCAGGACCCACATGAGTCTCAAGGGAATCCAGCAAGAAAGCCGTGCTCAAGACTATCCCTGTCCTGTTTAGGGAGCCCTAGCCCCCTTTGAGACATAGGTTCAGGGTGTCCAAAGCGACCTTGGCCCTGTCCAGCTCCGCTGACGGCAAATTCTCCTTGCGCCCCTCGATGATTGCAGCTCTCAATTGCTCCTGCGCAAAGCGCAAAGCATCGCAAAGCCCAGGGGGGAACCCGCAGGCTGCTTGCTGCAGGGTTCCAATCTCTTTTGTCCGCCACTTTTGGAAGGAACTGGCTGGCAGCTTGTGATTCATCCATCCACACGAATTCACCGTTCACACCTGGCTTCATGCGCCATGCGTGCCACCCAAAGCACCAGAGACACGGGCGGCGAACCCTGGGTCCAGGCTTCGAAGAGAGACCTTCCTACAAGCGAAAATCGCCAGCCCTTTGGCCCTCTGGTGCGAGAACCAAAAACCCGTACCTATCCGACCCTATCTTAAGAGGGAGGGGGGTGGTGGTCCCACAATTCCATTTATTCAGTCTTCCCCACGAAAGGGAAAATGGACCCGAAATGGAGATCTCCAGGGATCAGCCCCCTCCGCTCCCCCACTTCCATTTTGCAGAGGGTGGGGATCCCCCACCGACGAATCCCACGACGAATCCTTCGACGAGTCGAGTCGTCCTCGTCGCTGCTGTCGGCGGCGGAGCGGAGCGCCTTGAGCTTCCGCTCCAGCACCAAACTGTTCAGCGCCTCCTGTGCCGCTGCGCCTCAGGCGAGACGAAGCCATTGGTTTTGGAGGCCGGGCCGGGCGCTGGGGTTTGGGGGATCGATCCTTTTGGCTGATTGCCAGGGGTTGTCCCAGTTTTTAGTTTTTGGGGGGTCTGCAAAACATGGGGGAACCAGGGGCTTCGGGTCAGAACATGGGGCAAACGCCTCTCAAAATGGCCAGGGCTTCCTACGCCAAGGCGGAGACCGGGAAAAAAGAGTTCAGAGCCGGCACCTGGCTGGGACCCATAAAAAGGTCAGGTAACCAGCAGGGATCGAGTCCAGCCTTTTCATTTTTTTCAAATTCGCCCCTCCGGCGCACGCCAAAGAAAGGTCTTCTAGTTGGCAACTTTCATGGGCTCTTGACCCCTCTTTTTGTTCGGTAATGACCCCATTTTTTAAAGGATCGTGGACACTCGGGTGTGGGGCATACCCCGATACCCTATGGCTCCATTTTGAGGTGGATGAACATCCATTTGCCACCTATTTTGATGTTCACCAGGGGTACAGGGTAGCCACTCCAGGCACACCTCTGAAGGTTCCTGCCAAAGGGCATTCCTCCTCACTGAGGACGCTTCGTGCCTGGCTCAATGCCGCCCTGAGCTGGTCCTCACGACTCGTCCGACAAGCCGACCAGCGGCTCGAAAAACCAACCGGTGGAGGCGTGTCGACCCCGTGTTCAAAAAATCATTTGGGCTTGGACAGGTGTCGGGCAAATTTCCCCAAGAACCTTTGGGTAGCCCAGGGATATTTTTCGAAAGCCCAAGGATCTTTAGTGTCAAGGGGTGGTTTAGCATGGTGGTTTGGACCTTTGGCCTATAGGGGTACCTTGTTCACTTGGTTACGACCCTGTTCCACATTCAGTCTTCCCTAAATTCTTGGAGGAGACTCCAGTTTAGGTCAGCTTGATTGAACAATGCTAAACATACATGGCATTGGGTTTTACCTTGGTGATGATAAACCGACGGAATCCACAAATTTGTTGAAAAGGAATCCAAGGAACATCTTGCGCTACTTGTCGTGAACAGGGTCCTGCCAGGATACATTTGGGCCTACAAGCTGATTTGGAGGATCGTCTTCTATGAGTTTTGGGCACGCACACAGGGCAAAGGTTGAGCGTGGCTGCCAGCAGGGGAGAGGGAGTTGTGTGTCATCATCTCTACTCTTGGTATGGTAGCGAAAAACTTTGTTTTTTCCAGACCCCCAGTAAAAATGAACAGAACCAAACAATTAAAAACATTTTAAAAAAATGAGCTTTCATTGTTTCCTAGTGTGCTCCAGGCAAATGGGGACTTATTGGAGTTCCCTCGGAAAGTGTCCAACAAGTGGACGTTCGATGCTTGAAGCCACGGTTGAAGAATTTAGGAGACCCGAGGGAGGACTTCTTTTTCTCCTGCGGCAGTCTGGTTAATCTGTTACTCTGGCTCTCGGCCAGCCTGAAAATTTGAGAACCGGATCCAGCGCCTTTGGCGCGACCCTCTGGCATGCTGGACTTTGCCTGCTTGGCAGGAAAGAGAAAAATCAGCTTCCTGCACACCTACCAGCGGAAGTGCCATCCGTAGGCACCCAAGCTACTTCCGCACACAGCCGCACAGCTCGGAAAAAGCTTATAATTTGATCGAGGGTAAAGCTGACGCCCCTCAGTTGATCTGATTTGCCAGAGCGCCTGCCTGCCCGGCAAAGTTCAACTTATGGTTTTAGGACGATTGAGCCACCCTAATAGGCATCAACACCGTCGCGGGCCTCAAACGAGAACGTCCTGCCAAGCAAAGGGAAAGGTCTTGCTTTTCAGAAACAGCAAACAAGCATCTCCGAGGCCCTGAAAACAGCAGAGGGTCTCCCACAATCATTTGCTGGTTCAGCAAGTAATAGAGTTGCTTGGGTGAAAGCAGCCGTGGTGAAACAGATTTTCAGCTTGAAACACCCTGAACATGAACCTCGTTAAACAGTTGTGTCCACCAACATGGAAGCTGATGTTTGGAAGACAATGTTCCTTAAGGGACAATTTCTCCAGTGGGTTCCATGGCAACCTTCCCCAGCAAGGGGGAAGAAGTAAGAAACCGGGGTCGGGCCCGACCCATGCAACCCCCGAAATAGTCCCATGTCGCGCAAGTGTCTGCAACTGGAAGCCGATCACCTCACAGGACGTCCCAAGTTTCGCCAGCACCCGACTGCCTTGTTCCGCACCCCGGTGCAACGAGCAGTCGTTTGCTCCTTTCATCTGTGTCATGATCACCTGGTTACCAAATGGTACCAGCTGGCTCAAACAGCTGCACCCAATTGAAAGTTTCTCAAAACAGCGACCTGAAAAGTGGAAAAACCCCAACGGGGCCCAAAACACCACTATTTCAGGTCTTTGGGGGTCAGCCAGCCCTCATATTCAACTTGGGCTTCTGGGGTTGCAAGACTTCCTTTTGGTTTCCTTTTGGCTTCCCCTTCAACAGGGATCCGGATGCATTATACACCTGAACATTGCAACTTGTACATGGTGGTTCCCCTTTATTTTGGTGGAAAAAGTCATGTTTCAAATGGTTGCAAAATGTATCTTTTTAGGAGCCCTGTTCAAAACCATCCCAAAACCAGGGACCCCCTGCGCCCTTTTTCCCGGCTGCCCAACGTCAACCGAGGCATCGGTGCCTCCGGCGACTCAGGGCATGGGCCGCTCCTCATGGGTTCGTTGGCAAAAAGTCGGGGGAATGGGCAACGGGGCTCCGAAAGTTTCCCTGCAGTGGGTCAAAAATAGGTACCCAAAATGGGAACCCTGGCAAATGGACACATAGACTAAAACCTGCGGTCCTTATCCTCATGGTTTAATTTTAACTCATAATGTTTAAAGCCACCAAAAAAAACGTGGGATGAAAAACTGAACATATGACAGAACATAGGGAAATTCTACAGAATATAGGAAACAACCCAACAGAAATATAAATCAACCCAACAAAATATAGGGAAAGTCTGAACAAAGTGTGGTTGGTTTAGGTTCCATGCCGGGGATGTGGGGATGTGGGGGTAGGTTCTATGCAAAGGCCCGTGGCTGAACCCCTGCTAAGTGCTTATGAGAGGACTCTGGGCTTATCCTGGATGGACCAAACCTTTCTCAAAGGTAGGAAATGGCCCCAAAACACTGTAAAGAAGCAGTTTTCCTGTAACCCAACCCTTTGACTTTCCCAAATTCCAATTCTCTTCTGATATCGCGGTTCAAAGCCAAGCAAACCTCTACGAGACTTGGTGGGATTTCAATTCGCAATTGAAGGAGTCCATTTGCGATGACCCGCGGTCCTATTTCAGTATGAACTCTTGGTGTCACTGGTCGATGGGGCCAATTCACAATCCATGACGAAGAGGCACCCAACTAATCGAGATCAATGCCCCATAATCACAAACTGGAAAGAAGGAATCCTCGGGCTAAAGCCAACTCCGAGCCAACCCCAATAAACATCCCACTTCAATCCGAAAGTGTGGAGGTTACCAAAACCACGCAGGCCGAGAACCCAAGCGTGGACCTTTTCTCAGGGCTATCCCTTCTTGACCTAAGCTTATGCCAGGGATTCTCCACTTTCATTTGCTTTCCGCCCCCCGGAAAAATGAATTCATTTCCAGTAGTGATAGATTCCCTTTAAAACCAACAAGGGAATAACAAATAATAAATTACTTCGCTTCGAGCAATCCCCACCCTCCACACTCACGAGCTTACGACCGTGAACACGGTTGTGTGAGTTCAAGCATGGTTTTCGAGCGGCTTGGGGTCTATGACTGCTCAACAAGCTTTGCATTGAGAGTCTTATCCACCTGTCTGTGTGTGTCAAAACTCCACTTGTCTGCGAGCCGATCTCGAAAACTCAAGCATCGGTTTCTTTAACAAAAGCCAAGCCCCTTCCAAATAGAAACCCGGCGGGGATTAAACGAAGTTGCTTATTCAATACTCACAACACAAAGCAACACAAAAGCATCACCCTTTCCGAACATCAGGGTACACTCAAAACACGAAGGCACCAACATGAAATGTGAACCCAACATAACCCAACTGTGCGCCGGGCGGGACATTAAGCAAAACCAGACTGGCGAGCTGCTCTGGCGGGATACTGGCGGGATCCACTGGCGAACACTGGCGAGCCGCTTCGGCTCGATACTGGCCGGATACTTGGGGATCCACCGGCACAGAATACTCAGCGGCATACTTGGCGGGATCCACTGGCGGGCTGCTCTGCTGGGATACTCGGCGGGATCTACTGGCGAGCTACTCTGGATACTCGGCGGGATCCATCCACTGGCGAGCTACTCTGGGATACTCAGCGGGATACTCGGCAGGATCCACTGCCCCGCTACCCTGGTGGGATACTTGGCAGAATCCACTGGCGAGCTGCTCTGGCGGGATACTCGGCGGGAGCCGACTGGCGAGCGAGATGCTCGGCGGGATCCACTGGCAGCTCTGGTGGGATACTTGGCAAAATCCACTGGCGAGCTACTCTGGCGGGATACTCGGCGGGAGCCACTGGCGAGCTGCTCTGGTGGGATGCTCGGCGATCCACTGACGAGCCGCGCTGGCGGGATACTCGGCGGGATCCACCGAGATCCACTGGCGAGCAGTTCTGGCGGGATACTAGGCGAGATCCACTGGCGAGCAGCTCTGGCGGGATACTCAGCGGGATCCACTGGCGAGCTGCTCTGGCGGGATACTCGGCGGGATCCACTCGCAATCTGACTCTGGCGGGATACTGGGTGGGGGCGTGGTACATAAAATCTAACAACCCCTTCCTGTCGGGTGGGGAACAACACACCTATTCTTAAAGCAAATGGAATCTCACTGAAGGGCTCGTTCTTGCCCTTGGCTGACCCGTCCTCCACGCGGCCATCCGCGAAGTGCGCGAAGCGGGGCCGGTCCCTGGGGTGCGCCAGGGCGTCTGAGGGCCAGGGCCAGCCCCCGAAGCCGTCCGCCTCGGGCACGTGCGTCGGAAATCGGGGGTCGGTCTGACGAGGGGAGGGGAGGGGAGGGGAGGGGAGGGAGGGGAGGGGAGGGGAGGGGAGGGGAGGGGAGGGGAGGGGAGGGGAGGGGAGGGGAGGGGAGGGGAGGGGAGGGGAGGGGAGGGGAGGGGAGGGGAGGGAGGGAGGGGAGGGAGGGGAGGGAGGGAGGGTTCCCAAGACAGTAGATACATTGAGAAACATGCGGGCCATGCAAGGTTTGGTATCAATGCTTGGGGTCGAAGGCTTAGGGGCCAACTGAAAGCCAGGGCGTGGTCTACGGATGACAGGTTTAGGGGAAATAGAATGCCCTGGTAGATGATTAAACCACCAGGAAAACCAGGGTCATCTATTTTTCTAGCAAAACAACCACAAAGGACACCTATCGGTTTGAGTAAGGATGGTGTACGCCAGGGTTTCCCGTGTACCTTATGCTCTGTCAAACTGGGGACGTACAAAGCTGAATGCTAAAGGTGTAGAGAGGGTATGTAAGGGTATACTGGGAAATGTGCCACAGAAAGTGCGTCTCTCTCAATTAACTGGTGTCACCGTGCCCCAATGGATTCCTTTCAAACTCGGGGAGGGCTAGTACAGGGCATACGTGGGACACAGACATGTAAGCGCCACAGGGATGCACACCTCGTGGATTG